TCTTCAGGCACAGTTCTCACACGTAATTAAACTTCAGACATCCTCACCGTTCAACGGACACGACTTCTTTACCTGGAGCTTCGAGTTCGAGCTGCTGATGGAGGCCGCGCATCTTCTGGGATACTTCAACGGGTCCCTGCCATTCCCAAGCAACGGCACTGGGAAGGAACAAGAAATCTTCACGTATCAGTCGCTGCTGGCGTATACGGTACTCCTGAGAAACCTGTCACCACAAGAGCAGCAGAGCATCAGAACGTATCGAAGTTATGGAAACTCCGCAGAACTCGCATGGCATCATCTCAAGTGCCTCTATCAAGCAAACGACAGCGTGACTCAAAGCAGACTCATGCAACAACTGACAACAATACAGATGAAGACCGGGGAAAAGGCGATGCAGTATATGAGTCGCTGCCATACCCTCCGCGACCGCCTGCTTCGGTGCGGAGGAACGATCACTGAAGAAAGCTTCGTGACACTTGTCCTCGCCGGGCTCGGGCCAGAATGGAGAACCACACGATCACTTCTTCGAGCCCACGGAAGAATTTCGGAGATGCACCTCTGCGCCGAGCTTCACGCTGAACAACAGGAGATGGATCTGTTCGAAGAAAGACAACCAAGGAAGCAACAGCAGTTAGTCTTCTACACTCAAAGAAGAAATGACAACAACTACAACCGACGCAGCAAGCAAGATCAACGCGACAACCGAGGACTCACCATCGTACCGCCGTTCTGCCACAACTGCCAGACTTCCGGGCACTCCAAAGTCAACTGCAACCGCCCTCGCGTTTACCGTCCAGCAGACCCACAAGTTGCTTCAACCCAAGCAAGTCCCCCAAGGCGCTCTTCAACATCTGCACAACAGACACCAAACATTATCAATTGCATGGTACACATCGACAACTGCGCACCCGCTTCACCACCCACTTACGCACCAGACGAAGAGGAATTCCCGCCGCCGCGCTCGCAAGGACTTCAGGTCAACCCGACATACGCTGCAGTCGCTAACGCCGAACCCACCGGGCGGAACACCTGGTTCTTGGACAGTTGCTGCGGTCAGCACATGTGCTCCTCCGGACGCTTCGTACAACACGAGCGACGCCTCAACCGTGACGTCGTCATCACCGTCGCCAACAACGAAAACCTGAAAACAAATAGACAAGGCGTGGTTCAGTTACAATCAATGGAGACAAACGTTATTCTTCAGCTCAACAAGGTCCTCATCGTCGACAATCTGGGATACAACCTATTAAGCGTAAGCCAACTAATGGCTAAGGGGATTCACCTGGAGTGCGACTCCTTCTCCAACGAGTTCCGACTTTACCACGGGAAGGGCGGTCTCTTCATCGGTCGTGCCCTCCTGAAGTCCGGTGTCTTCGTGTTGGACTTCGTCCCCGACCGCGGAACTGCCGACAGCGACGGTATCGTATCCTTCGCCGCCTGGACTCATCCGCCAGATCTTGATCCCGACTTCGACAGCGACGGCTTCTGGCACTCCAACACCATACCTGCAGCAGAAAGAACACGAGCATTAGCAGTTATCAGACAAGAAAGACAAGTACCCGCATGTGTCCCAACAAAACCATCACCTGCAGTATCGGCAGCAGGACCCAGCCGAGTACCACCACCAGCGACACGAGGACAGCCAACCGAAGCAGACCAACTTATGCCCGCCACACGAGAAGCTTGTCGAAGTCCCGCCTCGGTCGTCGCGTTCTTCTCCAACGCCGACATCTACCACCGCTCGCCCGGTCACCGCGCTCCCGACGACATCTGGCACCAACGTCTCGGACATCCTGCAAACAGCACGATACTTCAAACAATCCAAGCAGAAGTGTTAGAACGCAACGCCCTTCTGACGACGAGCGGCCAGGAACTCCGACGACCACGCGCACGGTGTTTCACATGCCCCGAAGCAGATCTTCCTCATCAACCTTTCCCAGCCCATCACAATCCAAGCGCACCCACTTACGCTCCGATGGAAAAGGTCTACAGCGATATTCTAAACATGCCTCGAGACGACACCGAAGCCGACTTCAACTACGTCATCACGTTCATCGACGCAGCAACCAGATACGTCTGGCACTTCAATCTCAAAACGCGCGATCAAGCCTTCGAGGCCTTCACCACATGGCTTCCAATCGCCGAACGAGAGTCAGGAACCAAACTCAAGAGTTTCCAGTCAGACGGTGCACTGGAATACCAGTCACAACGCTTCAGGACCTATCTCGCGGAAAGGGGAATCCGACGCCTGGTGTCTCTGCCCTATGCTCACCAGCAGCAGGGGGTAGCAGAACGCATGAACCGGACCTTGCAGACGACGATGCGAAAACTGCTTCTGGGGATGAGGCTGCCCAACGCACTGTGGCCAGACGCGATGACACATGCTGTTCACCTGCACAACCTGCTGTCCTCGTCATCACTTCCCAACAACGCATCGCCGCACCTGTTGTGGACAAGAAAAAGGGGCAGCACAAAATTACTCCGCGTTTTCGGCTGCATGGTACAGTACAGACCCCACACAGCCCGAGCAGGACGCTTCTCACAAAGAGCTCGATGGGGACTACACCTCGGCATCGCAAAACATTTTCACGCGTGGAAAATTCTCGACATACAAGACAAAAACACGGTGGCATCACGCGATGTTATCTTCTACGAACGACTGACGCTGCAGCATTACCTGGACAACCTTGCCAACACACAAGACCCCACCGACGGCTTCGCGGGCCTTCGCTCCTTCGCTGACCACACTGCCGAGGCTGACGCAGCAGAAGAAGACGTACCTGGAGCCTCGGAAGCTGCCGGACCACTCCCATTCTGTTCCGTACCTGTTCCACTCGATGAAGATAATCCCCTCGATAGCAACAACCTCGACACCTTTTACCACTTCGCCGACCAAGGTTACGCTACACCTCACCCCGTCGACACGAATATTTCGGACCGCATCGGCCCCAATTTCTTACCTGACCCCGAAGACGGTGACGAAGCAGCTTATTCCGGGAATGAAAATTCCCCTCGACACACGCCCACGGGACTCCAGATTCTAGGCCTCTGGGTCTCCGTCCAGAATCCGCCGCCGCCTTCTCCGCGAGAGCCTTCAACGTTGTCGCAGGCTCTGGGGGGGGAACATAAGGCAAGATGGAAGGAAGCAATGGAAAAGGAGTTAAAAGCTCTGCAAGACCGAGAAACGTGGAAACTGGTACCTGCAACGAGCATCAACGGAAAAAACGTTCTCTCGGGGAAATGGGTGTACCGCATCAAGACCAACTCAGACGGTTCCATCGAACGATTCAAAGCTCGATGGGTCGTACGAGGCTTCGACCAACGATACGGAGCCGACTACACAGAAACCTTCGCTCCAGTCTCCCGTCACACCTCATTACGCATCCTACTCGCCGTCGCGGCCACGAAAAAACTGCCACTACGCCAAATCGATGTCGCGAATGCATTCCTATACGCACCTGTGGACGCTGAGATCTTCGTCGAACAACCCCACGGATTCATCAACGATCCCACGAAAATATGCCGACTGACAAAATCCCTATACGGGATCAAGCAAGCCCCGCGGCTCTGGCAGCAGCATCTCCACGGCCGTCTCGCAAAGATCGGCTTCCTACAATTACCGCATGACCAAGGGATGTACCGACTGCAGAAGGGAAGAGATTATGTTCTGCTCATCGTCTACGTCGACGACCTGCTCTACATCGGCTCCACTATCGACATCGCCACCTGGTTCGAAGGGGAGCTGAAAGAAGATTTAACTCTCACGGTGTCCGACGAAGTTACCCAGTACCTAGGACTGAACATCGTCGAAGACGACACGGCGTTCTACCTACACGCTGGAAAGTACTCAAGCACCGTCGCGAAGAAATTCGGTCTAGCACCGACTGCGGTCCCAACTCCCTACCGCTACGGGAACAACAGTAGCGCCTCCACAAAACTCCCCGCGAAACAAATCCAGGAGTATCAACAGAAGCTCGGCTGCCTACTATTCGCAGCAGTAACCTGCCGACCCGACCTATCCTATAGTGCGAGTCAGCTGGCGACACATCTGAAGCAGCCGCAACAGGAAGATCTCGAAGAACTCAATCGAGCGCTACTCTACTTCGTCTCCACGCCGACGATCGGGGCTCACCTACAGCAAAGCAACAACACCGTCCGTACAACTACTCGGATACGTCGACGCCGACCACGCGGGAGACAGCGAAAATCGACGGTCTAGGACGGGCTACATCTACCGACTAGAACCTATCGGAACTATCTCCTGGCAGTCGAGCAAGCAGGAGTTAATCGCACTATCCTCGGCTGAAGCAGAGTATATCGCCCTTTGTACTGCGACCAAGGAAGGACTCTACCTACGAGAGTTACTCGAAGAAGCGAAGATCGCGACCCTGCCCGCCTTCTCACTCCTCTGCGACAACCAATCTGCAATCAAAATCGCGAACAAGGACGGCTTCGCCAACCGAACCAAGCACATCGCCCTGCGGTACTTCTTCGTCAAGGATGAAATCGCGAAGGGGAGACTTCAACTCAGTTACTGCCCGACGACAGAAATGGCCGCAGATTATCTGACGAAGAAATTGGCGAAAGCAAAATTCGACTACTGCATGCTCCTAACCGGGCAAACAAACGTCACCGGATCTGAACACTCCAGCACTCCAGAAACGAAGGGGAGTGTTGGAAATATCTCAAGGACTTAAGCGTTTCTGAAGTGTAACACTGTACTCGAGGAAGATTACAGGGGAGCACGCGAGTCAACGGAGGTTACACGAGGGGGCAGACAAAGAAAGCGAAAGGACTCGAAAGGTCGCAACTGGAGGTTGCGACTGACCGTTACAACATCACGGATGGTAACCGAAGCGGCAATCGAGTCGCTGTGCGACTCGATAAACCGCTCCTGTAACTGTATTCTACAACTGCTTTCTTATCTTCTATATATTGCTGTATGCTTGTTTCTTTAATCAATCACTTGTTCTCACATACTAGTACAAGGGTTCAACTGCCTCAACTTCCGCTGCACTACCCCAAGTCTCAAGTCTTTACAGCTGGGACTTAGTCTCTGCAAAAGATCCCAAGGGCTTTTCTCAGCCCAACAATTACAATACGGAGTATGACATCTCACACCATTAGTCTACAAGAGCGTTACGGACAATCTAAATATAAACTACACCCATAGTGTGCCCCAACACACATCACTGGCAAGCATGCCACACAACGAAAGGACAGCTAGTGAGCGTTACATGCCCATGGAAGCTGCTCAACACTGAATAGGCTCTTGGCAGCACGTGACGCAATCCAGTCAACGTCCGGTTGCCTCACCCATTGTAGTGGGAGGAGCCCCATAACCCATGGACTCTTTCCCATACCACCGCCAGCAGCACCGCTACCAGAGCTGGTACCAGCAGCAGCAGCAACACCAGCAAGCTGCTGCTGCTGATGCCTGCTGCTGCTACTGGTGCTGCTGCTGCTGCAAACGAAAGCGCCTGCCTAAGCTGTTACCTCCCACCAGCTGCACCAGCGCTGGCACCACCTCTACCCACCCCTCCCCCTTTGCAGAGCTAATGTTGCGAACGAGAGAGGCATTGATATCCTTGAGATCCGCAAACATGGACGTGGTCAGCATGGGGTCCTCCTCGTTCCACACCAGCTGCTGCCTGCTGCTGCTGCCACTGCTACCTAAGTTCCTACCGCGGCTGCTGCTACCTCCCACCAGAAGCACTTGCACCACCAGCAACCCCTCCTCCACCCCTACCTACCCCTCCTTTCGCAGAGCTGATATCGCGCACGAGAGAGGCGTTGATATCCTTGAGATCCGCAAACATGGACGTGGTCAGCATGGGGTCCTCGTTTCGTGCCAGCTGCTGCCGCGTCAACCCAGCAGGGCCCAGCGCCTGCTGCTGCTGCTGCTGCTGCTGCTGCTGCATCCCAGCACTGCTGCCAAAGCTGCTGCTGGTGCCTCCCATGCCTCCTGCCGAACCTCCTCCCAGACCTCCTGCCGAACCAGCAAGAGGCTTCGTAGGGGAGACGGATGGGTAAGCGTTGCCCATGCCCATACCCATACCCATACCCGTACCCATACCCATACCCATGCCCATGCCCATACCCATACCCATGCCTGTGCCCATGCCCGTCCCCCCTGCTCCTGCTGCCACAGCAGCAGCATGCGGCATGGCGTTGGAGACGGCTGGAGAGGGGAGGGCGAGAGGGGAGAAATTCTGAGTGGGACCAAGGGGAGGGTAGGATGGGGTGGTGATGGGGTAGGGCGGAGGGGTGTCCCCACTCACTCCCCCCATTCCCCCCATCCCCCCCATTCCCCCCATTGGATGTTGCTGCTGCTGGTACTGCTGATTCTGTTGGTACTGCAGCTGCTGCTGCTGCTGCCAGGGTGGTTGCTGGTATTGCTGGTAACCCTGTTGCTGCTGCTGACCTGGCATCTGGGGGTAGAGTGGAGGTGGATACTGCTGCTGGTGCTGTTGCTGCTGTTGCTGCTGCTGGTGCTGCTGCTGTGAAAGCTGCTGCTGCCAGGATTGCTGGTTTGGGTTATACTGGGGAGGGTACATCTGACCAGGCTGGGGCTGGTAGCTAGGCGCAGCAGAGGAAGGGTGAGAGGCAGAAGCAGGGAAGCCAGACGCACCTACACCAGTCAAGCCTCCCCCACCAGCAGCAACAGAGCCTGAACCCCCTAAGGGATCGGTGGGTGAGTGAGCTCCAGGGAAGGAAGGGAGGCGGGGAGGGGCGGAGCCGGGAGCAGAGGCAGCAGCAGCAGCAGCAGGAGTGGATGAGGTGGAGGGGGGCTGGGACTGTAACGTGGTGTGAGTGTACGGAGAGGTGTAAGCGTGGGGCGACGGGTGGGTGGCTTGGGGGCCGTAGGGGGATGGGGCGGAGGAGGGAGCAGGGGAAGGGGAGGGGGCGGTAGAGGAATTATATGGAAGGGCTTGGAAGGAGGGTTCAGAGTCAAAGGGAGAGGGCTCAGTGGGGAAAGAGGGAGGGACAGGGCCAAAGGGGTTAGGGGCCGAGCCTATGGAAAGAGTAGGAGCATCAGCAGCAGCAGAACTAGCACCAGAAGCAGCGTTAGGAGCAGCATCCGGACCAGCAACAGCAGGGCTAGAGCCAAAGTCTAACGCACGAGCGGCTGCTGGTGGTGGTGCTGCTGACTCTCCTGTTGATGCTGCTGCTGCTGCTGCTGGTGGAGTTGATGATGAGTCAGCATTTCCTGCAGTGGACGCTTGCACACTTGGTGCAAACGGATTGGACGGCGACAGCTCAGCAAGAAGCATATCAGTGACAGAGCGATAGGCAGCAGCAGCAGCAGGAGGAGGAGGAATGCCCAGACCTGCTTCCCAGGCTTGGGAAGCCGGGTAAGGGGACACATCCCGAGAGGCAGGTTCGGAATGTGGGTGGGGGTGTGCGTTTGGGGAGGCTTGGGAGAGGGCCATGTGGCTCATTTGGGCGGTCATGGCTGGCAAGTCAGGGGCAGAACCATAGGGCGGGTGGTGATGGGGGGGTGCTGCTCCTCCCCCTGTTCCTCCCCCTGCTCCCCCTGCTGCCCCCCTGCTGCTGCCGCTGCCGCTGCTCCTGCTGCAACTGCTGCCACTGCAGCAGCTGCTGCAGGTGCTCCTATTGCCCCGGTATCGGCAGCAGCATCAGAAGCACCAGCAGCAGCGGGGGAAGCAGCAGCAGTCCCAGCAGCAGCAGCAGCAACAGCGGGGGCATGAGGCGTAGCAGAGCGTTTCCACTCAGGGGGAAGGGGGAGCAGGGGGGAGGCGAGGGGAGCGCTGGGGGAGGGGAAGGGGGAACCTGAGGAGCGGATGGAGGAGGCTGGGGGAGCTGATGGCGCACTGTGGGGGGAGGAGGGGGGACGGGGGGAAGGGGGAAGGGGGAAGGGGGGAAGGGGGGAAGGTGGGGAAAGAAAGAATGACTCGAGCTAGGTTGGGGGGAAGCTGAGGGGTGCATGCAGAAGGAGGCTGGGGGAGCTGATGGCGCACTGTGGGGGGAGGAAGGCGGAAGGGGAAGGGAGGAAGAGGGAAGGAGTAAGGGGGAGTCAAGCTAGAAAGGGGGACATGGGGGAAGGAAGGGGGATGGAAAGAGTCAAGCTAGATTAGGGGAAGCTGAGGGGCAGGAGGAGGAGGAGGATGGGGAAGCGGATGGCACACTGCAGAAAGAATGGAGAGGACGGAGGAGGGGGGGGGGGGGGGGGGGGGGTGGTGGAGGGTGGTTTTTGAGTCAACTCAAAAATCACCAAAGGACGGAGGAGGGGGGGAGAGGGGGGGGGGGATGGAGGGTGGGGGGAACACCTACCAACAAGGCGCACTGCTGCACTGCATTCACCCGCGCCTGTCGAGCTGAACGCTGAGCTCGCTGTCAGTGTCCCCCTCCCCATCCATCATTCAGTGATCACTGCCACCCCCTCTCCCTCCCCCCCCCCCCCCCTGTTGCTGTTGACACAGGGAGCACCAGAGTACAGAGCCACACTCAGCAGTCACCAGGGTTCACCAGCACACTAACCCGTGCCTGTCGAGCTGAATGCTGGGCTCGCTGTCAGTGTCCCTCCCCTTCCCATCCATCATACTGCGACACTGCGACCCCCCCCCCCCCCCCCTGCTGCTGCCGACCTCACCCCCTTCCATTGCTGCTGCTGCTGCTGCTGCTGACAGCCTGACACTGGGAGCACCAGCACACGAAGCCAAGCCACCTACAGCACTCACCATGGCTTAGCACTCACCCATGCCTGTCAAGCTGAATGCTGGGCTCGCTGTCAGTGTCGCCCACCTCCCCATCCATCATACTGTGATCACTGCCCCCCACCTGCTGCCGTTGACGCTGGGAGCACCAGCATACAGAGTAACTCTCAGCAGTCACCAGGGTTTACCACCGCACTCACCCGTGCCTGTCGAGCTGAATACTGGGCTCGCTGTCAGTGTCGCCCTCCCCATCGTACTGCGACCACTGCACCCCTCCCCCTCCCCCTCCCCCTGCTGCTGCTGCTGCAGGCGGGACAGGAGCAGATGCCCCCTGTAGCTGGCTGTGCCGCTTCATGACTGCCTGCACCTCGTCGTTGAGCGCTAAAGCCGACCTCAGCAGGTGCTCGTCACTGTGGGGAAAGGTGGGGTGGATATGCATAGGGGTTTACATGGGGCGTTCCCTTGCAGCTGGCTGTGCCGCTTGATGCATGCCTGCACCTCGTCGTTGAGCGCTAAAGCCGACCTCAATAGCTGCTCGTCACTGCAGAGAGAGCTCGAGAATGAGAGAGGGGGATGGGCATTGGCATGGGCATCGGCATGGGGATGGGGATGGGATGGGCATGGGCAAGGGAATGGGATGGGCATGGGCATGGGCATGGGCACGGGCATGGGCATGTGCATGGGCATGGGCATGGGAATGGGCGTGGGCATGGGAATGGGCATGGGCATGGGCATGGGCATGGGATGGGGAGGGGCATGGGGATGGGGAGGGGCATGGGGATGGGGAGGGGCATGGGGATGGGGAGGGGCATGGGGATGGGGATGGGCATGGGGATGGGGATGGGCATGGGGATGGGGATGGGGATGGGCATGGGGATGGGGATGGGGAGGGGCATGGGGATGGGGAGGGGGAAAGCACGGAGGTAGGATGCACGGGCTGCCTGGTGGCTGGCTGCTAGGCGGCCCTCCAAGCACCAGCACTCCCCCACCAGCTGCTGCACCAACTCGTCCCCGAGCACAGAGGCAGGGTCATCCTACTGGCAGCACGTCAATCATTCAGAAGCCATGCAGAGCCATGCAGACTCACAACGTTGAATTGATTGTCGCTGCTAGGCGCCCCTCCAGCCCCCGGCACTCCCCCACCAGCTGCTGCACCAACTCGTCCCCGAGCACCGAGCTGGGGCCTTCCTTGGGTGCAGCTGACAGCAGAGATCACAGTTAACACCTACACGCTCAGTGTCTTTTAAAGGAAGTCGTACACACTCACGATGTGGAGTTGATGGTAGCCTCTAGGCGCCCCTCCAGCCCCCGGCACTCTCCCACCAGCTGTTGCACCAATTCGTCCCCGAGCACCGAGGCAGGGTTGTCCTTGGGCGCGGCTGACAGCAGGTCAGATAGCACCTCCACCGAATTCACCCCCATGGTGATGTCTGCAAGACTGGTGATTTGTGGGTACGGGCAGGGGGGAGAGAGCGGGGGGGATGGGGGGGGGGATAAATGGGTGTGACAGCAGATCAGATAGCGCCTCCACCGAGTTCACCCCCATTGTGATGTCTGCTCGACACCCCCCGGTGGGTGTGGGTGCGGAATAGGGCGTGGGGAGTCTGTTTTTGAGGCGCATAAAAAATAGACTCCTCACGCATGGAATAGGGCGTGGGTGAAATTAATGCAGAGAGAGGCATCCCCTTGAATGCGCCTGACAGCGCCAGATAGCACCTCCACCGAGGTCAACCCCGTTGTGTTGTCTGTTAGACTGGTGGGTGGGTGTGGATAGGGGCAGGGGGGAGGAGGTGGGGAGAGGAGAGGGGAGGGTGGGGGGGATACATAGTGTGACAGCAGGCCAGGTAGCACCTCCACCGAATCACCCCCATTGTGATGTCTGCTAGACTGGAGAAGTGTGGGTAGGGAAATGACAGTGCACTTCCCCCCCCCCTCTTTCTCCCCCCGTTCTCCCCCCCACATCCCCTTCCCTCCCTCCCTCACCTCCCCTTCCACATGCTCTCTCCCTCTCCCTCCTTCCCTCTCACTCCCTATTTTTCTCACCTCATTGGCTTAGCACTCGCCCCTTCCTGGGATCCACTCCCACCCTGTTGCTGCTGCTGCTGCTGCTGCTGCGGTTGCTGGTACTGCAAGGGAGGGGGCTGTGGCTGCTGCGGCAACGACCTGCCACCAGCAGCAAGAGGAGAGCGCGCTCCATTGTAAGCAGCTCCGCTATAAGCAGGAGATCCGTTATAAGCAGCTCCCCCCATGGGGCTGCCATACGTGGGCGAGTTGTAGAGCTGAGGAGGGGTGGACTGGGAGGGATGCTGCAAGTGCGGGGGGAGCACGCCAGGTGGCACGCCGTGACTGGCTGCTGCATACTCAGGAGACGGCATGGGGATGGAGTGGGAATGATGGGGATGGGAGGAGGGGCGGGGTGGGAAAGGTATGCCATTTCTCTGCAGGGAGAGAAAAGGGCAGAGGGACAGGGACACAGGCGCACGCAGGGGGATAGGGAGGGTGTTTTGAGAGAAGGAATGGATGGGTGTGTGGCTGGCTGCTGCATACTCAGGAGCCGGCATGGGGATGGAGTTGGGCTGATGGCCAAGGGAGGAGGGGCGGGGCGGGAAGGGGACGGCACTATCTCCAAATGCGGTAGCAGAGGGAAGCAGAGGGCAGCAGAGGGCAGCATAGGGAAGCAGAGGGAAGCAGAGGGAAGCAGAGGGAAGCAGAGGGAAGCAGAGGGAAGCAGAGGGAAGCAGAGGGAAGCAGAGGGAAGCAGAGGGAAGCAGAGGGCAGCAGAGGGCAGCAGAGGGCAGAAGAGGGAGACAGGGGTACGAGGGGACAGAGAGACAGGGGGAAGGAGTGGGAGAAGAAAGGTTTTCTAGAAACCTCCATAAACTTCACAAGCGCATACCACATGCACATGCATAACAAGATGACAGCATACCCTTTACAGACAGACCCACACCTTGAACTCGTCGAATGTGAGGAAATACTCTGCGTGCCATCCCAGGTGGTGGTAAGGTAAAGCCCGGAGGGGAAGTTACCCCCATTTCAGAAGGGCAGATTCTTTTTTCATGTGTCAGCGTGAGTATCCCAGAAATCGCACCTTGAGCTCGTCGAACGTGAAGAGGTATTCCGTGAGCCGGCAGGTGGCGCCTGGAGGGGAAAAGTCACCTTGAACCTTTCAAAAGGGCAAATTCCAGAAATCTCACCTTGAGCTCGTCGAATGTGAGCAAGTATTCCGAGTGCCGGCAGGTGGCGCCCAGAGGAAAAGATTACCTTGAGCGTTTCAGAAGGGCAGGCGCATTCCAGAAGGGCAGGCGCATTCCAGAAGGGCAGGCGCGTTCCAGAAGGGCAGGCGCATTCCAGAAGGGCAGGCGCATTCCAGAAGGGCAGGCGCATTCCAGAAGGGCAGGCGCGTTCCAGAAGGGCAGGCGCATTCCAGAAGGGCAGGTGCATTCCAGAAGGGCAGGCGCACTTCAGAAGGGCAGGCGCATTCCAGAAGGGCAGGCGCATTTCAGAAGGGCAGGCGCATTCCAGAAGGGCAAATCCCAGAAACCACACCTTGAGCTCGTCGAATGTGAGCAAGTATTCCGTGTGCCGGCAAGTAGGGCCAGGGGGGAAAACGTCCGCCCACCCCTGGACTGACCTCTAGCCGTCTAGCCATCATGCAATATGCTGATCGGTGGAACATCCCTGACAGAATCACGCAACGCTTGATAGAAGAATCTCACCTTGAGCTCGTCGTAGGTGAGGAAGTATTCCGTGTGCCGGCAAGTCGGGCCAGGGGGAAAAACGTCCGCCCATTCCTGGATGAGCCCTCGTGCTCTTGCTGTCGCTGCTGGACTAGCCTGGTAGTATGGGGTGGGAGAACAGGGGGGAAGGCACGCATGTGTTGTTGCTGCTGCGATAATCATAGACGCCACTGACCATTCCTGAATGAGCCCTCGTGCTCTCGCTGTCGCTGCTGGACTAGCCTGGAGTGGTTGGGATGGCGCAGGGGGGTTGGCATGCACGTAAGGGGGGAGGGGGAGGGAGGTTGGGAAGGGGTGGGTGGGTAGGTATGCATGTACAGAGGGGGGGTTGGGATGACACAGGGGGTTTGGCATGTATGTAAGCGGGAGGAATTTTGAGGCGCCTCAAAAGGGTTGGGATGACACAGGGGGTTTGGCATGTATGTAAGCGGGAGGGGGAGGGACGGGGGGAAGGGGGAGGGAGGGGGGGGGGAGTGGGGGGTAGGTATGCATGTACAGAGGGGGTAGGTATGCATGTACAGAGGGGGTAGGTATGCATGTACAGAGGGGGTAGGTATGCATGTACAGAGGGGGTAGGTATGCATGTACAGAGGGGGTTGGTATGTATGCACAGAGGGGGTTGGTATGTATGCACAGAGGGGGTTGGTATGTATGCACAGGGACGGGTGAACTCGCATGGTTAGAGTCTTTAGAGGCGTCTGTCAACTCTTAAAAGAGCCCTCTAGCCCTGGCTGTCCCTGCTGGTGTGGGGCTTGTTGTTGCTACATAAAGCATAATGAAGCCGTGCCTCAGCCGGTTGTTGGTATAGTTGTTATAAGCTCCAATGGAAAGGCTCCAAGCTCGTTTCGAGACACAGCAGCTGCGCCTCAGACGGTTGGTTGTTGGTACAAGAGACGGTGGTGGTGACTTTCGAGTCGACTCAAAAGTCGCCTCGAAAAGCTTCAAGCTGGTTTCGAGACACAGCTGTGCCTCAGACGGATGTTTGTTGGTGTAAGAGGCGATGGTGGTTGCCAGAAAAACAGCTTCATTAAAGCTGGTTATGCCAAAGATTTCTCTCCTTGGACTCACCCCTCCTTTCCTTGCGATCTTGGCCACGTCAGCAAGCACTCCTTTCTCCACCGCCTGAGAATGCACCACCCCCCCACAGTTCTTCATCACAGTCTCCAGCAGCTGTTGGGGAAACAGACAGCACAGGACAGCAGTGCGGAAGGGGACTATGAGGGTACAAAGAGGTCAGCACGGCAAGCACTCCTCGCTCCGCCACCTGGGAGTGCACCACCCCCCCACAGTTCTTCATCACAGTCTCCAAAAGCTGTGGGAGGGGGAAAGGGAGGGGGGGTGGGGGGAGGGAAAGGGTTACGGTGGTTAGAAAACAGCTGTATTTCAACGCACCACAGAGCATAACCTGCCTCCCGGCATTTCTTCATTGCGGTCTGCAACGTGCCATGGTGATGAACATTGAGCCTGGGTCTGCTTTTGAGTCGACTCAAAAGCAAACGTGCCACGGTGACGAACGGTGAGTATGGGCTGTTGCATTGTGACAGAGAACACTGCGCGGATTCTAACGTGTACGAACAGGATACATGCTGTAACGTACAGTGAGGGCGGAGAGCTGCACTTGTGCGTGGCGCGAGGTGACCTTCTTGTGAATGGCTCGCATGGCGTCTCCCGCCTTGCTGGAGGGTGGCAGGGAACGAATCCAAAGAAGCAAAAGCGGTACGAGGGAGAGGGGAGAGGGGAGAGGGGAGGGGGGGGGAGGGGGGGGAGCTAATGAGAGACTCAAAGTGACCTTGTGAATGGCTGGCATGGCGTCACCCGCTTTGCTGGAGGGTGGGAGGGAACGGAAAAATGGTTCCATGACAAAGAGGCTTAAGCCCACGAGAACGGCATAGCCTAGGGAACTGTCATCACAAGGCGCCGAATAATCGTGCCGCGAATTAAGAAACTAATGTTTGTCTAAAGCACCTGTTGATTCAAAAGGTCAATTCAGCGACCCGAAATCAGTTGAAGGGACTCATAAATCACACGGTCAAGTGAAAATCCTGAGGAGGTTGATGTTCCAATCAGGCAACGATCTAACGGCCGGCTGGAATCAACGGTCGGATTGAATCAATTCGACGGTCAGATCGAAACAGATCAACGGTCGGCTTACGAAGGCGATGCATTGAGGAGGTCGCAGAGCTGGAGGTTGGTGGTCCAATCAGGATCCGCCAGATACTCGCTGCACGCCTTATCCACAAGATGCGACACGCTGCTACCGGCCGCATGATGACCCCCCCCGCTGAGCATGCTGAAAAGCTAATTTGACAACCTAATTTTACGGTCACTGGGAGATTGATTTAATGATCACTAAGACGCTGATGATCACTGGGAGCTAGCGTCGATGCTAATCCAATGGATCACTGAAGCGACATGCTGAGATGCTAATTTTACAATCACAACTAGGATGCCAATTCAACGAGACCGTGGATGCTGATCCATTGATCGCTGAAGCCGACTCAACAATCCGTAAGTTGCTAACTCAACGACCTCCTCGATTCTCATCCAATCACTGCAGAGCTTACTTCCTCCTGATCCGACGCGTTTTCAGTCCAAATAACAACACAGACGAATCGCAGCGTCCAGGAGCAACTCGGAAGCGATCGGTGTGGTAAATTAGCTCTCAGCTGGACTACCTCTCCGCAGGATTAGCTCTTTTTGCTGAGGAAGTGGAGCAAGTAATTTTGGTGCCTGGTGTGGCTGGGGTGGTTATGTAGCTCCTGCTGGCGTACCACGTTGAGTACCACGCTGTACCATTGTCATACCCAGCTGTAACGTATTAGACCCGTTCCCAGCCCTTGAAAAACTGGGGATCAATTCAGGCAAAACGGTCCCAATGTTCCGCGTCCTGAACGGAGCTAGCCGTTTTCCAGCAAAAATGCCACCAAATTGCCACTAAACAGGGGTTCCGTTTCATCTGGAGGTGCTGGCAGATCACCAGGAAACAGCACCCAATCACGTTGCTCTATTAAAAGGGAAGCTCGCTACAATCTGCAGAGACGCAGAAGGATGGGACCAGCAAGGACGAGAGAACGAAACGCACGAAAGCCCACTCCCTGGGAAAGGCGACTTGATTCCAAAATGAGATGCCGATGATGACGTGACCATAAGCGATTCCACTCGACACGACATCAGAGGCCTTCGTGGAAGCTGAGAGCGGCCGAAACTCAACCGCAATGAGGGCGTGATGCCTACGTCCGAACAGCTTTGGTTCGAATCTCAACCACACCGTACCACGTGAGTATCTAGCTGCAACACGCCAGAACCGCTATTAAATCCACTGTACCACTCTGACCGTCCAACCTTTTCATAAGTTCGAAACCGTCAGCAACACACTCCAACTTTTCCTGAAGCCGAACCGTTAGCAATAATTGTAGTATGCACGAGATAACGCATTATTTACAGAAATAAATCAGAAACATTTTCCTCACTAAGTTAGATACGAGGGCACATCCAGGGGAATTGGAATTCTGCCTTGGACACTACCAAAGTGTTGTAGAAAACCCTGCACAATGAACACACGACCAGAAGAGATCACCAGAAGCACATGTAAGCAACGCAAGTAACCAGTCCCATAGATTCTAAAACTTGGAAACTAAGAAAAGCATTGAACGAAATTGTAGACAATCTTGCACAACGGTGCGAAGAACACTGACCTTCAAAGCTCTCAGCCAATCGCAGCAGCTCCACCAGCTTCTTCCTCTGCTCCTCAGAAGCCAGCAGCGACTCGCTCAAATTCCGCACACTCTCCCTCTTCGCCTCCGTCACCCGCGCCAGCTCCCCGGTCACTCGCTCCAACTCCCCTCTCACTCTCTCAAGCTCCCCCTTCACACTCTCCCCATCTCTTCTCACTCTCTCTAGCTCCCTCTTCACACTCTCCCCATCTCTTTTCACTCTCTCTAGCTCCCCCCTCACACTCTCCCCTTCTCTTCTCTCTCTCTCAAGCTCTTCTTGCACACTCTCCCCATCACTCTTGACTCTTTCAAGCTCCACCCTCACTCGGCCCAGTTCCTCCTCCAAGTCCCCCCCATGCTCCTTTGCACGGGCCAGCTCCCCTGTAGCTTCCTCCAGAGCTCGCAAAAACTCCGATTCTCTCCCAATCAAGGTTTCCCTATGCTCTTTCACGCCAGCCAGCTCCCCTGCAGCTTCCTCAAGAGCCTGCAGAATCTCTGCTTCTCTCTCCCTCAACCTCTCCCCATGCTCTTTTGCGCGAGTCAGCTCCGCTGTAGCTTCCTCTAGGGCGCGCAGAATCTTTGCCTCTCTCTCAATCAAGGTCTCCCTATGCTCTTCGACACCAGCCAGCTCCCCTACAGCTTCTTCAAGGGCCCGCACCAGCTCCCTTTCTCTCTCCCCCAACCTCTCCCCATGCGCTACCTCCTCCCTTCCTCTTTCGGCCTCTTCTGCCTTAGCCAGTGCACCATCCCTCTCCCTCTCTGCCTCCTCCCTTGCTCTTCCCGCCTCTTCTGCCTTTGCAATAGCACCATCCCTCTCCCACTCTGCCTCCTCCCTCGCTATTCCCGCCTCTTCTGCCATTGCAATAGCACCATCCCTCTCCCTCTTTGCCTCCTTCCTTGCTCTTCCCGCCTCTTCTGCCTTTGCAATAGCACCATCCCTCTCCCTCTCTGACTCCTCCCTTGCTCCTCCCGCCTCTTCTGCCGTTGCAAAAGCACCATCCCTCTCCTTCTCTGCCTCCTCCCTAGCTATTCCCGCCTCTTCTGCCTCTACAATAGCACCATCCCTCTCCCTCTCTGCCTCCTCCCTTGCTCTCACTGCCTCTTCGGCCTTTGCAATACAACAATCCCTCTCACCCTCTGCCTCCTCCCTTCCTCTTTCCGCCTCTTCAGCTTTAGCAAGAGCACCATCCCTTGCTCTCTCTGCTTCTTCTGCTTTGGCAAGTGCACCATCCCTCTCCCTCTCTGACTCCTCCCTTCCTCTTCCTGCCACTTCAGCCTTGGCAAAAGCACCCTCCCTCTCCCGATCAGCCTCCTCCCATTGCCTCATAGCAACTTCTGCTTTGGCTAATGCACCATCTCTCTCAAACTCTGCCTCCTCCCTCTTCTGCTCAGCCTCACTCCGTGCCTTCTCCGCTTTCTCCCTCTCCTTCTCAGCCTCACATTTCGATGCCTCAGCCTCCTCTCTATTCAGCTCAGCCTCCTCTCTCTTCTCCTCAGCCTCCTCTCTCTTCTGCTCAGCCTCCTCTCTCTTCTCCTCAGCGTCAATCCGTGCCTTCTCCGCTTCGCCCCTCTCCTTCTCAACCACACATTTCGCTGCCTCAGCCTCCTCCCTCTTCTGCTCAGCCTCCTCCCTCTTCTGCTCAGCCTCTCTCCGTGCCTTCTCCGCTTCCCCCCTCTCCTTCTCAACCTCATATTTCGCTGCCTCAGCCTCCTCTCTCCTCTGGTCAGCCTCCTCGGACTTCTGCTCAGCCTCCTCCCTCTTTTCCTCAGCCTGACTCCGTGCCTTCTCCGCTTCCTCCCTCTCCTTCTCAGCCTCACATCTCGCTGCCTCAGCCTCCTCCCTCTTCTGCTCAGCCTGCTCCCACTTCTGCTCAGCCTCACTCCGTGCCTTCTCCGCTTCCTCCATCTCCTTCTCAGCCTCACATTTAGCCGCCTCAGCCTCCTCTCTCTTCTGCTCAGCCTCCTCCATCTTCTGCTCGGCCTCACTCCGTGCCTTCTCCGCTTCCTCCCTCTCCTTCTCTGCCTCACATTTAGCCGCCTCAGCCTCCTCTCTCTTCTGCTCAGCCTCCTCCCTCTTCTGCTCGGCCTCACTCCGTGCCTTCTCCGCTTCCTCCCTCTCGTTCTCTGCCTCACATTTTGATGCCTCAGCCTCCTCTCTCTTCTGCTCAGCCTCCTCCCTCTTCTGCTCTGCCTCACTCCGTGCCTTCTCCGCTTCCTCCCTCTCGTTCTCTGCCTTACATTTTGCCGCCTCAGCCTCCTCTCTCTTCTGTTCAGCCTCCTCCCTCTTCTGCTCGGCGTCACTCCGTGCCTTCTCCGCTTCCTCCCTCTCCTTCTCTGCCTCACATTTCGCTGCCTCAGCCTCCTCTCTCTTCTGATCAGCCTCCTCTCTCTTCTGCTCAGCCTCCTCCCTCTTCTGCTCAGCCTCACTCCGTGCCTTCTCCGCTTCCTCCCTTTCCTTCTCTGCCTCACATTTCGCTGCCTCGGCCTCCTCTCTCTTCTGCTCAGCCTTCTCCCTCTTCTGCTCAGCCTCACTCCATGCCTTCTCCGCTTCCTCCCTCTCCTTCTCTGCCTCACATTTTGCCGCGTCAGCCTCCTCTCTCTTCTGCTCAGCCTCCGCTCTCTTCTGCTCAGCCTCCTCCCTCTTCTGCTCGGCCTCACTCCGTGCCTTCTCCGCTTCCTCCCTCTCCTTCTCTGCCTCACATCTGGCTGCCTCAACCTCCTCTCTCTTCTGCTCAGCCTCCTCCCTCTTCTGCTCAGCCTCACTCCGTGCCTTCTCCGCTTCCTCCCTCTCCTTCTCTGCCTCACATTTCGCTGCCTCAGCCTCCTCTCTCGTCTGCTCAGCCTCCTCCCTCTTCTGCTCAGCCTCACTCCGTGCCTTCTCCGCTTCCTCCCTCTCCTTCTCTGCCTTACATTTTGCCGCCTCAGCCTCCTCTCTCGCCTGTTCAGCCTCCTCCCTCTTCTGCTCGGCCTCACTCCGTGCCTTCTCCGCTTCCTCCCTCTCCTTCTCTGCCTCACATTTCGCTGCCTCAGCCTCCTCTCTCTTCTGATCAGCCTCCTCCCTCTTCTGCTCAGCCTCATTCCGTGCCTTCTCCACTTCCTCCCTCTCCTTCTCTGCCTCACATCTTCGCTGCCTCAGCCTCCTCTCTCTTCTGCTCAGCCTCCTCCCTCTTCTGCTCAGCCTCACTCCGTGCCTTCTCCGCTTCCTCCCTCTCCTTCTCTGCCTCACATTTCGCTGCCTCGGCCTCCTCTCTCTTCTGCTCAGCCTCCTCCCTCTTCTGCTCAGCCTCACTCCGTGCCTTCTCCGCTTCCTCCCTCTCCTTCTCTGCCTCACATCTCGCTGCCTCAGCCTCCTCTCTCTTCTGCTCAGCCTCCTCCCTCTTCTGCTCAGCCTCACTCCGTGCCTTCTCCGCTTCCTCCCTCTCCTTCTCTGCCTCACATTTCGCTGCCTCAGCCTCCTCTCTCGTCTGCTCAGCCTCCTCCCTCTTCTGCTCAGCCTCACTCCGTGCCTTCTCCGCTTCCTCCCTCTCCTTCTCTGCCTTACATTTTGCCGCCTCAGCCTCCTCTCTCGCCTGTTCAGCCTCCTCCCTCTTCTGCTCGGCCTCACTCCGTGCCTTCTCCGCTTCCTCCCTCTCCTTCTCTGCCTCACATTTCGCTGCCTCAGCCTCCTCTCTCTTCTGATCAGCCTCCTCCCTCTTCTGCTCAGCCTCATTCCGTGCCTTCTCCACTTCCTCCCTCTCCTTCTCTGCCTCACATCTCGCTGCCTCAGCCTCCTCTCTCTTCTGCTCAGCCTCCTCCCTCTTCTGCTCAGCCTCACTCCGTGCCTTCTCCGCTTCCTCCCTCTCCTTCTCTGCCTCACATATCGCTGCCTCGGCCTCCTCTCTCTTCTGCTCAGCCTCCTCCCTCTTCTGCTCAGCCTCACTCCGTGCCTTCTCCGCTTCCTCCCTCTCCTTCTCTGCCTCACATCTCGCTGCCTCAGCCTCCTCTCTCTTCTGCTCAGCCTCCTCCCTCTTCTGCTCAGCCTCACTCCGTGCCTTCTCCGCTTCCTCCCTCTCCTTCTCTGCCTCACATTTCGCTGCCTCAGCCTCCTCTCTCGTCTGCTCAGCCTCCTCCCTCTTCTGCTCAGCCTCACTCCGTGCCTTCTCCGCTTCCTCCCTCTCCTTCTCTGCCTTACATTTTGCCGCCTCAGCCTCCTCTCTCGCCTGTTCAGCCTCCTCCCTCTTCTGCTCGGCCTCACTCCGTGCCTTCTCCGCTTCCTCCCTCTCCTTCTCTGCCTCACATTTCGCCGCCTCAGCCTCCTCTCTCTTCTGCTCAGCCTCCTCCCTCTTCTGCTCAGCCTCACTCCGTGCCTTCTCCGCTTCCTCCCTCTCCTTCTCTGCCTCACATTTCGCTGCCTCGGCCTCCTCTCTCTTCTGCTCAGCCTCCTCCCTCTTCTGCTCAGCCTCACTCCGTGCCTTCTCCGCTTCCTCCCTCTCCTTCTCTGCCTCACATTTCGCCGCCTCAGCCTCCTCTCTCTTCTGCTCAGCCTCCTCCCTCTTCTGCTCAGCCTCACTCCGTGCCTTCTCCGCTTCCTCCCTCTCCTTCTCTGCCTTACATTTTGCCGCCTCAGCCTCCTCTCTCGCCTGTTCAGCCTCCTCCCTCTTCTGCTCGGCCTCACTCCGTGCCTTCTCCGCTTCCTCCCTCTCCTTCTCTGCCTCACATTTCGCTGCCTCAGCCTCCTCTCTCTTCTGATCAGCCTCCTCCCTCTTCTGCTCAGCCTCACTCCGTGCCTTCTCCGCTTCCTCCCTTTCCTTCTCTGCCTCACATTTCGCTGCCTCGGCCTCCTCTCTCTTCTGCTCAGCCTTCTCCCTCTTCTGCTCAGCCTCACTCCGTGCCTTCTCCGCTTCCTCCCTCTCCTTCTCTGCCTCACATTTTGCCGCGTCAGCCTCCTCTCTCTTCTGCTCAGCCTCCTCCCTCTTCTGCTCGGCCTCATTCCGTGCCTTCTCCGCTTCCTCCCTCTCCTTCTCTGCCTCACATTTCGCTGCCTCAGCCTCCTCTCTCTTCTGATCAGCCTCCTCCCTCTTCTGCTCAGCCTCATTCCGTGCCTTCTCCACTTCCTCCCTCTCCTTCTCTGCCTCACATCTCGCTGCCTCAGCCTCCTCTCTCTTCTGCTCAGCCTCCTCCCTCTTCTGCTCAGCCTCACTCCGTGCCTTCTCCGCTTCCTCCCTCTCCTTCTCTGCCTCACATTTCGCTGCCTCGGCCTCCTCTCTCTTCTGCTCAGCCTCCTCCCTCTTCTGCTCAGCCTCACTCCGTGCCTTCTCCGCTTCCTCCCTCTCCTTCTCTGCCTCACATTTCGCCGCCTCAGCCTCCTCTCTCTTCTGCTCAGCCTCCTCCCTCTTCTGCTCAGCCTCACTCCGTGCCTTCTCCGCTTCCTCCCTCCCCTTCTCTGCCTCACATTTCGCTGCCTCAGCCTCCTCTCTCTTCTGCTCAGCCTCCTCCCTCTTCTGCTCGGCCTCACTCCGTGCCTTCTCCGCTTCCTCCCTCTCCTGCTCTGCCTCACATTTCGCTGCCTCAGCCTCCTCTCTCTTCTGATCAGCCTCCTCCCTCTTCTGCTCAGCCTCACTCCGTGCCTTCTCCGCTTCCTCCCTTTCCTTCTCTGCCTCACATTTCGCTGCCTCGGCCTCCTCTCTCTTCTGCTCAGCCTTCTCCCTCTTCTGCTCAGCCTCACTCCGTGCCTTCTCCGCTTCCTCCCTCTCCTTCTCTGCCTCACATTTCGCTGCCTCGGCCTCCTCTCTCTTCTGCTCAGCCTCCTCCCTCTTCTGCTCAGCCTCACTCCGTGCCTTCTCCGCTTCCTCCCTCTCCTTCTCTGCCTCACATTTCGCCGCCTCAGCCTCCTCCCTCTTCTGCTCAGCCTCCTCCCTCTTCTGCTCGGCCTCACTCCGTGCCTTCTCCGCTTCCTCCCTCTCCTGCTCTGCCTCACATTTCGCTGCCTCAGCCTCCTCTCTCTTCTGATCAGCCTCCTCCCTCTTCTGCTCAGCCTCACTCCGTGCCTTCTCCGCTTCCTCCCTCTCCTTCTCTGCCTCACATTTCGCTGCCTCAGCCTCCTCTCTCTTCTGATCAGCCTCCTCTCTCTTCTGCTCAGCCTCCTCCCTCTTCTGCTCAGCCTCACTCCGTGCCTTCTCCGCTTCCTCCCTCTCCTTCTCTGCCTCACATTTCACCGCCTCAGCCTCCTCTCTCTTCTGCTCAGCCTCCTCCCTCTTCTGCTCAGCCTCACTCCGTGCCTTCTCCGCTTCCTCCCTCTCCTTCTCTGCCTCACATTTTGCCGCCTCAGCCTCCACTCTCTTCTGTTCAGCATCCTCCCTCTTCTGCTTAGCCTCACTCCGTGCCTTCTCCGCTTCCTCCCTTCCCTTTTCTGCCTCACATTTCGCTGCCTCGGCCTCCTCTCTCTTCTGCTCAGCCTCCTCCCCCTTCTGCTCGGCCTCACTCCGTGCCTTCTCCGCTTCCTCCCTCTCCTTCTCTGCCTCACATTTCGCCGCCTCAGCCTCCTCCCTCTTCTGCTCAGCCTCCTCCCTCTTCTGCTCGGCCTCACTCCGTGCCTTCTCCGCTTCCTCCCTCTCCTGCTCTGCCTCACATTTCGCTGCCTCAGCCTCCTCTCTCTTCTGATCAGCCTCCTCCCTCTTCTGCTCAGCCTCACTCCGTGCCTTCTCCGCTTCCTCCCTCTCCTTCTCTGCCTCACATTTCGCTGCCTCAGCCTCCTCTCTCTTCTGATCAGCCTCCTCTCTCTTCTGCTCAGCCTCCTCCCTCTTCTGCTCAGCCTCACTCCGTGCCTTCTCCGCTTCCTCCCTCTCCTTCTCTGCCTCACATTTCGCCGCCTCAGCCTCCTCTCTCTTCTGCTCAGCCTCCTCCCTCTTCTGCTCAGCCTCACTCCGTGCCTTCTCCGCTTCCTCCCTCTCCTTCTCTGCCTCACATTTTGCCGCCTCAGCCTCCACTCTCTTCTGTTCAGCCTCCTCCCTCTTCTGCTCAGCCTCACTCCGTGCCTTCTCCGCTTCCTCCCTCTCCTTCTCTGCCTCACATCTCGCTGCCTCGGCCTCCTCTCTCTTCTGCTCAGCCTCCTCCCTCTTCTGCTTAGCCTCACTCCGTGCCTTCTCCGCTTCCTCCCTTCCCTTTTCTGCCTCACATTTCGCTGCCTCGGCCTCCTCTCTCTTCTGCTCAGCCTCCTCCCCCTTCTGCTCGGCCTCACTCCGTGCCTTCTCCGCTTCCTCCCTCTCCTTCTCTGCCTCACATTTCGCCGCCTCAGCCTCCTCTCTCTTCTGCTCAGCCTCCTCCCTCTTCTGCTCAGCCTCACTCCGTGCCTTCTCCACTTCCTCCCTCTCCTTCTCTGCCTCACAATTCGCTGCCTCAGCCTCCTCTCCCTTCTGCTCAGCCTCCTCCCTCTTCTGCTCAGCCTCACTCCGTGCCTTCTCCGCTTCCTCCCTCTCCTTCTCTGCCTCACATTTTGCCGCCTCAGCCTCCACTCTCTTCTGTTCAGCCTCCTCCCTCTTCTGCTCAGCCTCACTCCGTGCCTTCTCCGCTTCCTCCCTCTCCTTCTCTGCCTCACATTTCGCTGCCTCAGCCTCCTCTCTCTTCTGATCAGCCTCCTTTCTCTTCTGCTCAGCCTCCTCCCTCTTCTGCTCGGCCTCATTCCGTGCCTTCTCCACTTCCTCCCTCTCCTTCTCTGCCTCACATTTCGATGCCTCAGCCTCCTCTCTCTTCTGATCAGCCTCCTCACTCTTCTGCTCAGCCTCCTCCCTCTTCTGCTCGGCCTCACTCCGTGCCTTCTCCGCTTCCTCCCTCTCCTTCTCTGCCTCACATTTCGCTGCCTCAGCCTCCTCTCTCTTCTGATCAGCCTCCTTTCTCTTCTGCTCAGCCTCCTCCCTCTTCTGTTCGGCCTCATTCCGTGCCTTCTCCGCTTCCTCCCTCTCCTTCTCTGCCTCACATTTCGATGCCTCAGCCTCCTCTCTCTTCTGATCAGCCTCCTCTCTCTTCTGCTCAGCCTCCTCCCTCTTCTTTTCGGCCTCACTCCGTGCCTTCTCCGCTTCCTCCCTCTCCTTCTCTGCCTCACATCTCGCTGCCTCAGCCTCCTCTCTCTTCTGTTCAGCCTCCTCCCTCTTCTGCTGAGCCTCACTCCGTGCCTTCTCCGCTTCCTCCCTCCCCTTCTCTGCCTCACATTTCGCTGCCTCAGCCTCCTCTCTCTTCTGCTCAGCCTCCTCCCTCTTCTGCTCAGCCTCACTCCGTGCCTTCTCCGCTTCCTCCCTCTCCTTCTCTGCCTCACATTTTGCCGCCTCAGCCTCCACTCTCTTCTGTTCAGTATCCTCCCTCTTCTGCTTAGCCTCACTCCGTGCCTTCTCCGCTTCCTCCCTTCCCTTTTCTGCCTCACATTTCGCTGCCTCGGCCTCCTCTCTCTTCTGCTCAGCCTCCTCCCCCTTCTGCTCGGCCTCACTCCGTGCCTTCTCCGATTCCTCCCTCTCCTTCTCTGCCTCACATCTCGCTGCCTCGGCCTCCTCTCTCTTCTGCTCAGCCTCCTCCCTCTTCTGCTCAGCCTCACTCCGTGCCTTCTCCGCTTCCTCCCTCTCCTTCTCTGCCTCACATTTTGCCGCCTCAGCCTCCACTCTCTTCTGTTCAGCCTCCTCCCTCTTCTGCTCAGCCTCACTCCGTGCCTTCTCCGCTTCCTCCCTCCCCTTCTCTGCCTCACATTTCGCTGCCTCAGCCTCCTCTCTCTTCTGCTCAGCCTCCTCCCTCTTCTGCTCAGCCTCACTCCGTGCCTTCTCCGCTTCCTCCCTCTCCTTCTCTGCCTCACATCTCGCTGCCTCGGCCTCCTCTCTCTTCTGCTCAGCCTCCTCCCTCTTCTGCTCAGCCTCACTCCGTGCCTTCTCCGCTTCCTCCCTCTCCTTCTCTGCCTCACATTTTGCCGCCTCAGCCTCCACTCTCTTCTGTTCAGCCTCCTCCCTCTTCTGCTCAGCCTCACTCCGTGCCTTCTCCGCTTCCTCCCTCCCCTTCTCTGCCTCACATTTCGCTGCCTCAGCCTCCTCTCTCTTCTGATCAGCCTCCTTTCTCTTCTGCTCAGCCTCCTCCCTCTTCTGCTCGGCCTCATTCCGTGCCTTCTCCGCTTCCTCCCTCTCCTTCTCTGCCTCACATTTCGATGCCTCAGCCTCCTCTCTCTTCTGATCAGCCTCCTCTCTCTTCTGCTCAGCCTCCTCTCTCTTCTGATCAGCCTCCTCCCTCTTCTGCTCGGCCTCACTCCGTGCCTTCTCCGCTTCCTCCCTCTCCTTCTCAGCCTCACATTTCGCTGCCTCAGCCTCCTCTCTCTTCTGCTCAGCCTCCTCTCTCTTCTGCTCAGCCTCCTCTCTCTTCTGCTCAGCCTTCTCTCTCTTCTGATCAGCCTCCTCCCTCTTCTGCTCGGCCTCACTCCGTGCCTTCTCCGCTTCCTCCCTCTCCTTCTCAGCCTTCACTCTTGCACTCTCTGCTTCCTGCTTCTCCTTCTCAGCCTCCACTCGTTCATTTTCTGCCGCCTCCCTCTCGCTCGCAGTTGCAGTAAGAGCGGCTTGCCTCTCCATCTCTTGCCTCTCCATCTCATCCCTTCTCTTCTCTGCATCCACCACCCTCTCCCTCTGCGCTTCTTCCCTTTGCCATTCAGTCTCACTAAGAGCATGCTTCAACTCCTGTACAAGCGTCTCTGCCACTTCCCTTCCCTTCTCAGCAGTAACCTTCTGCCTTTCAGCCTCGCTAAGAGCATGCTGCAGTTGCTGTACAAGCCTCTCCACCTCCTCCCTTCCTCCGTCTGCCATCCCCCCTCTTAGCTGCAACTGCGATTGCCCCTGCAACTGCCTTTGCAACTGCCTGTCCATAGTATGGGTTTCAACACCTCTCTGTCTGTCCGTCTCTGTCACTGTCAACACCTCTTTCACCTCTTCCTCTTCCTCCTCCTCTTCCTCCTTCTTTACGTGCCTCTCCTTCCTCTCCCACCTCTCATCCTCCTGCTCCTTCTCCTGCTCCTTCTCCTGGCGCTTCGCCTCACGTGTCTCCTGCTCCTGCTCCCGAGCACCCCCTGCCCGCCTTGTAGGAGCGACTGCAGTCAAGTGATCAGCAACTAGCACCACCGCCTCACTCACCACATCCTCCTCCCTTTCATGTCTCAAACCCCCTTCCTTCACACTCTCCAAGTCCTCACCACTCTCGTCTTTGTCAGCTCCTCCCTCCCCTTTCCCCACACCCCCCTCTCCAGCCAAACCACACTTTCCTGCTGACTCATCCTCTATCCCTGTCGGCTTTGTCATACTCTCCCTGTCCTCCTCTCTCTTCCCGCCCTCCTCCCTTCCCATCTTCCCTTTCCTCTCCCCCTCCCCTTCCCTCTCCTCCTTCTCCTCCCCTCCCTCTTTCTCCTCTCCCACCATCCCTCCAATCAACCTTCTCAACTCCCCTCTAAGCCTCTCCGCCACTCTTTCTGCCTCTCTTACCTTTCCAGCCGCCTCCTCCCTCTCTCTCTCCGCCCTCTCTCTCCCCCTCTCCGACTCCTCCCTCACTCTCTCCACATCCCTCACTCTCTCCTCCACCTTCCTACACCTCTCCTCTAACCCCCTCCTCTCCTCTTCACCTTTGAGCAATTCTGCCTGTAGCTGTCGCCCCCACACTCTCAAATCGTGTGCTATCCTCTCCGCTTCCTCCTCTCTCCTCCTGGCCTCCCTCACTATCTCTCCTTCCTCCCCTTCTGTTAACCTGCCCGACCCTGCCCTTTTTTGCGCTTCCACGGTCATCAATAAAGATTCTATCTTCCCCTCAAGACCAATCTTCTTCGCCCGCTCCTCTTCCCGGGCAGCCAAAGCCGCCGCCGTTTCTGCCCGCAAAACTTCCACCTCCCGTTTCATCGCCTCAGCCTCCCCCTTGGCAATCTCAGCAGCTGCCCGGACCAGCTCCGACTCCGCCTTAAACTTTTCCGCAGCTGCCCGAGCTTTCTCAGCCTCAGCCTGCGCAGTTTCCGCTTCTGCCCGGATCTTATCCGCATCTTCCCACACCCTTTTAGCCTCAATCCTCACGCGTTCCGCATCCCAAACCTTCCTGGCAGCTTCTTCCGCCTTTAACAAAGCCAGGTCCCTCTCTAGAACAGCCCCTTCCATTACCCTCTCAGCCTTTACCTTCTCTCTCACAGCAGCATCTCGCTCCCTCTCTGCCTCCCCCCTCCTCTTCTCTGCTCTCACTGCTGCCTCTATAGCCTCCTCTCTCTCCCTCTCAGCAATCCCCCTCCTCCTCTCTGCTTCCCCACACTCCGTCTCTGCCGCTCTCCTCCTCCCCTCCTCTTCCTCCCTCCTCCTCTCCGCCTCGTCCCTTTCCCTTGCCATCTCCACTCTCTCATATACTGCCCTGTCTCTCAGCCCTAGGGCTGTTCTTTCCCCGTGACAAGCCTCCTCCATTGCCTTTATAGCCTCATTTCGCCTCGCTTCAGCTTCCCTCTGTGCTGCGCTCGCTTCTGCCAACCTCCCCTCTATTTCCCTCCTCGCTCTTTCCATCTCCTCCCTCACTCTCTCCCCCTCTCGCTCCACATCCCTCGCTCTCCTCTCCGCCTCCTCCCTCTCTCCATCACCCTCCTCCCTCCTCCTCTCTGCCTCCTCCCTCCCCTTCTCCGCCTCCTCCCTCCTCCCCCTCTCCTCTTCCAACGCCCTCTCCACCTCCTCCCTCCCCCTCCCCTCCCTCTCTCTCCCCTTCTCACTCTCCCTCCACCACCCTTCCACTTCCGCCAACCTCCCTTCAGCCTCCTCTCTCCTCCTCTCCGCCTCGTCCCTCTCCATTAAAGCCCGGACCATTTTCTCCTCTGCTTCTTTCCTTCTCCTCTCTGCTCCCTCCCTCCCTCTCTCTGCAACTTCTCTCGCCCTCAGAGCCTCCTTCATACCCCTCTCCGCCTCCTCTCTCCTCCTCCCTAGCTCCAACCACCCTCCCCGGATCAGCCCCCGGGCTTCCTCCCCCCTAACTCCCCCCTCCTCTGCCGCACCTGTACCCTTTATAAGCTGCCTTGGAGTCCCCTTAGGAGAAGGCTCGTTATCCTCTAAAGTGTGTGGATGCAGACACCTGGCCATACTTTCCATACTCGCTATAGCAGGAGGCAGTTTGCTAAAGAGCGGCCTAGATGTGAAGGAGGGACTTGGAGGATTAGACCCAAAAGAGGGACTCGCCAGCCTCCCCTGCAGCAGCTTATCCTCGTTATTAGCCGCTCCTTTTCGCGCTGAGGTCATGCGTTCGAGATGCTCTGCTTGCCGCCTTTCTCTATTCCCACCTTCTTGTATGACTCGTGTTTGCATCCCATCCTCGTTACAAGCTGATGCCTCAATAATTACTGTCAATTTGTTACAACCTGATCCCCCCTGCTTTTCCCCCTTTCCATCCGCTTGCTCCCCCCCATGCTCCCCCCCATGCTCCCCCCCATGCTCCCCCCCATGCTCCCCCCCCTGCTCCAATGCTCGTTCTTCCCCTTGCTCTTTCTCATTTCTCTGCAAAATCCCTTCCGCTACCTCACCAGCCCCACCATCCCCACAAACACCTTCCCCCTTCACTTCCACCTTCTCTCCCGCCCCACGCCCTTCCCCCTTCTCTCCCTCCTTTGCCCCTCCTGCAACCGACCCCCCTGCCAGAATATCTCCCTTTCGTGCATTCTCTTCCTCCGTTTCCTCTTGATGTGTCTTTCTGTGCTGCTGCTCTGTTTGCTGCTCTTCTTGCTGCTGTGCTTGCTGCTTTCCTTGCTGCTCCTCCTGCTGCTGCTCTGCGTGCTGCTCAGCTTGCTGCTCCCCTTGCTGCATCTTCACTTGCTGCTCTCCCCGTTTCTCTCCTCTCTGCTTCCCCTTCTCTTCAGCTCCCTCGCACTTCGCAGCTGCTTGCTCATCTGTACACCCCCCCCGCTGCTCCAGCTCTGCCCCTTGTAGCCCTTGCTGCTTTCCGTGCTGTACCCCTTGCCGCTCCCCTTGCTGCCCTCTCTGCTCCTCCTCCCGTTGCTGCTCTCCCCGTTTCTCCTCTTGCTGCTCCCCTTGCTGCTCTCCCTTCTCTTCAGCTCCTTCGCGTTTTGCAGCTGCGGGTGATTTTAGAGTCGAATCAACAATCACCTCGCGGCTTGCGGCTGCGAGTCCATCTGTACACGTTAACCCATAGCCCACCCCTTCATAAGACTCGTTATTAGGCTCGTTATTAGACTCGTTCTTAGACTCATTAATAGACTCAGCGCCACTAGAAGACTCTACCCCGTTAGTCGATTTCACCGCGTTAGAAGACTCTACACCATTAGCAGACTCACTGCCAATAGAAGACGATTCTGTATGCATCTTTAAAGTCGTCCCTAAACTTTCCTCTTTCTGCTCCTCAGCCCCACTCGCGCTGTCATGAGAAACGCATGTACTCGACTCGGCCTTAGATTCCGCCGTAGGTTCTTCCAGACATCCCGCCTTAGATCCCGCCTTAGACTCCTCCTTAGACTCCTCCTTAGATTCTTCAGCGCAAAATAGTACCTCCTTAGGCGACTCGCAAGGTACCCCTTTCAAAGCCTCGACTTCCTTTCTCCATCTCTCCGCAACGCCTTTCCACATCTCCAACCGCTTCTCAGCCTCCTCGAGGGAAGATCTCAGCCGTCCATTCTCCTCCCCCATCTTCCGCTGATTCTCCTCCTCCTCCTTCCGCCTCTGCTCCCCCTCCAAAGCGGCCTCCGCCTCCCCCTTACCCCGCGCTCGCCAGCTAGACCCGCCGCCAATCCCGCCGGCGGACCCGCTTGTCTTGCCTGGCCCGCCTGGCCCGCCAGGCCCGCGCGACGACAGCTCCCCGCTCCTTAGGCGACTCAAGAACAGCGCCTTCCCCGTCAGCCCCGCCGCCGAGCCCGCGGCCGCCGGCGCTCCCTGCGCGTGTCCCGCCGCCGCCTGCGCGTTTCCCGCCGCCGCGGTTCCCGCCACCGACCCGGGAGGCGGTTTTCCCGCTTCGCCGCCAGCTGAAGGCCGGCTCTTAAACTCCTTGGAGAGTCTATCGACTTTATTCTGGAGGTCCATGTTCTTAAATTTATACTTACCTAATTCGACTTCTAAAGCCGTTATTTTCTCCTCAAGCTCTTTTCCCCCGCCGCCACCTCCCCGCAGCCCGGCGGAACTTCCCGCGGAGGCTTCCGCGCGCGCTTTCCATTTCTCCGCCTCCGCGCGCAGGTTCTCCGCCTCGGCGCGGGGAACGCTCTGCTTCTTCCACGTGTCCAGCTCCGCCGTGACTGCCGCTGCGAGGTCCCTCGCGGCTCGTAAGTCGGTCTGTAGCCGGTCGACCTTGAAACGAAGGTCGGAGTTTTTTATTCGAAGCTGCCCGAGTTCCACCTCCATAGCCACGTTATCCTTCGACATTGTCACACTAGCCGTTATTTATTTGCAGCGAAACGACTTACTAGAATGGCATCCTAGGTTTCCCTATCATTCTAAAGTTCCCCGAGCCTAGGTAGTGACGAACATAATTAGTAGGTAACTCCAAGCATAGATTGTGCCGAGCATTCCATGCTCCGCCAAGCCTAGATTCAGCCGAAATTTCTTCTCTCCCCGCCTAGATTGTGATGCTGAGCTTTCCCCCCTCAAGAACGTGCCGCCGTCAGTCAGAGACCTTCACTTTACCCCTCGAGATTCTCGTCCTCCTTCGAGTTAGGCTACTGTTCGTAAGACGCGTTTCAGTTGGGTTTCTCGCGGTTTGAAACGTTATTTTTTTGGATAACCCGCTTAAGAACGTAGGGAACCGGATAGAACCGTGCTAACTGACATCGCTTTAGGATTGATAGCAAACATGCTGGCGCACGAACATCGCTTGACGATTCACGAGTTGTGGTTGTCGAGAGAGCTGAGGCTCGTTTCATGTCTAGCGAAATTGGAATCTCCTTGTCATAACTTTTTCAGTAACGTCTCGCTCAAAGTTTCGTGCTCTATTCATTTCAGAGAGCGCTGCGGGGCGAGAAGGTGACGTGCGCTCACTTCAGACGCCGGTGAAATGTGAACACGTCCCCACGGTCTGCCTCAACACCAAGATATCCAAATGTCCAGGAACGTTGCGATGCGCTACACTACGGTTGGGCATGTTCTACTGCGGTACCAGTACGTCCCTATCAAACGTGTCCCATCCGAATTAGAATACAGGTCATATGCCCTGAGAGCCCGGGGGGCGACGCGAGAGATTTCGCTTACAACGAATATGGGCCGTACGGTAGGGGCAACGTGGACTATCGGGTTTTCCCAGGAAATGGGGAGTTGTTTTTTGTGTACTGTGCATGGGCGGCTTGTCTAGCATATGCAGCGATTGAGTAAACGTCGCAGCGTCGCAAGCCTTTGCGCGAGTGTATCAACTCTGCGTTACAACAGAATGTTCAAACACATGCGTCATGTCACAATCATGCTGTGTTATTTGGCAACAAACAGATTTGCCTCGACAAAGACAAGACTCGACAGAAGTCCATCCCGCAAAAAAAGACTCAGGGTGAAAACCATACTTACGAAGACGAAAACTACACACTTCACTGCAACACAGCACAAGCGTCTCACCCCTAACGTCATACGGAGAGCACATTGTCTCTCGGTCCTCGACTCGCACGCGCCATACACGAAGTCTAAATTTAACTGCCTATTAATGCACAGAAATTAAGCGCCTACTATCCGCGGTAGGTAGCGGCATGCGCGCCAAAAGTCATCCACTCGCCAGCGTCAGGGTATCCGGTCATGACAGCTGTGGCTCCACGGACATGACTGAGGTACCCTTCCTCCACCGCGCCGGGCGCAGCGTTCGTGTCCAGGCGGGGGGATGCGCGCTCCAGGCGATCAATAACCGAAGGTTCGCGGATGTCAAACAAGACGCGTAGATCGCGGGGCGCCAATCCAATTGACTTTGCGTAGCCAATCAGCATCTCTGTCGCCATGCGCGACAGATTGCGACGGTTCCGCTCTGAGTCTTGTGCAGCCGAAGAGGGAGGCGCATTCGCCCACCAAGCGTCCCGCTTGGCCATGCCAAGCGGCTCGACCTGAAGCGGATCCACCCCGGTCGGCTCGCTCGTTTCGTCGTTACGCTCGGCGGTGACGAAGCGAGCGGCTGAAATCATGTCGCTCGGCCCGAACGGCAGGGCGCTCATGAGCTGCTGCACCGGCTCGATGTCGTCCTCTAGCCGGGGCTCCTGCTCTTCAGATGTGGCACCGAGGAGAGGTAGCAGCAGCTGCCAGCTGGCTGGCAGCATTCGCGTCCTCCAGAAACACTTCTGGATGGTCGCGGTTTCCAGCCCAAGGCACGCTTCCGACACCCAGGTAACCACCTGCCACATTTCCGGCTTCCACTTCTGAACGGCGGCGACGGTCACGCCAGGTATCTGCCACTGTGCGAGAACAGCTTGAAGCAACTCGACTTTGTAACGTGCCTTCAGAGCTGCGATGAGGCCCTGATCCAGAGGCTGCGTGAACGGTGTCGTGTTCGGCGGCAAGTAAACGAGGCGCACGTGCGACAGCGCCCGTGTCCGGAAGCCGCAGATGTCAGCTGACATGGCGAGTGGGGTCTGGAGGAGGTGACTCGAAGCGTTATCTAGCACGACGACGATGCGTCTTCCTTCCGCCAGGCAGCACGCGTTGATATGTTCGAAAAAAGCCGTAAAGACCTGCGAGGGGCATATGGGATGAAATTCATGAAAGTTATATAATTTTACGTTCGCTCGACTCAATTCGCATCGGACAGAACACGGCACATTACAAGGTAGACATTCAAGACGACGCACACACCTCTGCAGTCATCCATCCCGAGGTGTTCGCGCGCCAGTAGCAGTACTTCGAAGGGTCAAACTTTTGCTTTGCGAAACAACGGGGCCGTTCAAATTTGTGAATGATGAGCGGCTTGAACAGTTTCGAGCCGTCCGCGTTTACCAGCAGCGCGACTGTAAGTCGATCCTTGCAAACCTTCTTTCCCGGGGTAGGATCGATGCAGAAAGTGTGGTCGGGTAGGAGACTGTAGTAGACGCAGGTCTCGTCAAAGTTAAAGAGGTTCTCTGGGGTGAGGCCAAGCTGGCCGCACAGCCTCGGAAAATGCAGTTGCGCGGTCAGCGCGGCGCCCTCGTCGGCAAACCTCGCCTCGCCGCTCATCTTACGCCACTTGAATCCCATTCGGCGCAATGCTTTCTGAACCCATCCAACAGAAGCTTTGAAGTCGCTAGGGACGTTGCACTCGGGTGCTAGCAGAATAGCGCGCTGCTGGATTAGAGCGGTCGACACTGGCAAGCCAGCACCGTTTGTGCTTTTCAGCCAGCTCTTAAGTCGAGCTTCGAGTAAAGGCCAGTGTGGGCTTCGCAATCTTTTGAACTTGGCGCGTTCGGGCCCGATGGCCCGCCACTTCACTTCTTTTTGGAGAACTCGGCCGACTGTGCTGCGATCGGGCCACAGGCCGTATCTGGTGTGGCACCATCGCCCAATGTCTTCGAGACGTACAGTCGGGTTCTTCTTCGCGTACTGGCAGATTGCAAGCTTCTGCCCGACGGACAGTGCAGTTCGGCGTACAGGTGCCATGCGGACGACGTCGTGGGTCTGACGGGCTCGTTCTTTGTGTCGTGAAAAGGTCGAAGATTGGGCTATACAAATAACCCCGTGGTGTCTGCATTATTGGCGGGGGGAACGACGTTGGGACCCCTCTGTTGCTTACTTGGCGATTTCCTGTTGGCAGACGGATGACGGAATTGCCCGGGGCTACGCAGACGGATTCTATTCGCGTTGCTGGCGTTGTTCTAGTGGACCGTCACCGAGGTGGTCGTATCGATAGCATCATTTGGATTTTGGTCTCGACATTGGTTGGCGAGCCTGACACGTCTGGATGTTTAAAGGCTCGCCAACCAGTATGAGAGGTCGCCCTGGAAACACAAAAACAAACTGATTGGACTGCCAAATATCAGCCGAATTGACTGTCGAACTCACTGTTCAGTTGAGACGGGTACACTTTGCTTACAAGGAGAGGTCCTTAAGGATAAAATGCCTATGAGATACTCGCGGGCGTAAAAGGAAGTCGCCTACAAGGCATATGACCTGTATACATTTGTAAAGAGAACTCACGTCACCACAACGAGGTAAGCCCCGTGTTTATTGAAAGGTCTCCACTGTGCTGTACTGTTGAACACTTTCTGCTGCGACGCCAACGACCAGGTCACACACACGGGGGCCATGTGATGTGAGAGTGTCGCGCTGTAGTGCACACAGGCCACGTTGTCCCATGTGTCACATCCTCCTGGCCCAACACAACGCACAGGCGGACCATTAGGGCAAAAAAACATTTTTACGCTGCGGTGCAATGGGATGGGACCAACGGTACTTGCACCACGCCAACCACATGGTTGATTATAAACTGTACAACCATAAACTGTATTTTCCGAGCTGATAACCATGCCAAAACACACCCTCTTTTCTGAAACCAGACAGCCACATCCACCTGAGAGCTGCACCTGGGAAACCACCCGTAACTGCTGCAAGTGTACAGTACGGGTGCTCATGTTGCACTTCGGTTGGATGCTGCTTCATTGGCGAGAAACGCCTAGTCTTGTGACTCGCCGTTACAGCGCCATGAACGTTTCGCCGCACGTTTCGCCGATGTCGGCATTGCATTTCACATCTGTTGGGGGGAGGCGGGTTTGGCGAGAGAGGGGCCCTGTATTTGTTTTAGAGCAATCACCCTGAAATAATCACATTTATATCTATAAAATGCCTTGTTTCTGGGAAAATGCTCTGTTTCTGAATAATAAGGATAAAGTCTGCGGGAGTTGACCTCCTTGTTCAGTATATTTGTGTCATCACATACCACATCTACAATTCAATCCGCGCCACGTTTTCCCGAACCAAGCTTGGCGACCCTCCGACCTGATTTCGCCCCCAACACCGAAAAGGGGTCCCTATTCCGTCGCTTCTGAATTCCTCCAGCTGCCCGATCCCAAAATCGGCAGTTGGGGAAACAAGGACCTAATTTTGCAACACCCACCACCAACCAAGAAATCTAGCAGAAAGCAACAAGAGGAAGAGGGGGCGCAAACAGCTGTACGTCGGCGGAAACTGTCGGTCGGTAGGGGGATGCGGTGGGGAACGCGGCGTGGGGGAGGGAACGCGGCGTGGGGAGGGAACGCAGGGAGGAGAGGGGGGGTGCAGCTGCCACAGGAAGACAAAGTACAGTATGCTGAAGGGTGGGAGTGTGAGTGGGGTGCAGCTGCCAGGGGGAGTGCTGAACGCTTCTAGATTGGAACCTACAGAAGTAAGATGCTAGGGTTTGGTTTGATGATGAATTTGTGTACGGATTCAATCGCAAGGACTTATGATTTCTGCGCTGAAGGCTCTCGACTAGTTTAGTGGATTAAACGCTCAGGGGCACTTGGTTAGCTAGTTCGTGCTCAGCTTTGCATCGCTGACGTCCGCAGTCTTCGAGCGAAAGTGGTTGTTTGTGTGGGCCTTGACATTATAATAATAATAATAATATACTTGGACGTTTAGCTGGTCCGGACATTTAGTTAGGCTTGACTCGGAATGAAGTCGACTCAACGAGCTATTTCGAGGTCCATCCTGAGCATCGTCCTCCTCGCCGTTGTTCTTCTAGCCTGCGCTCATCGAAGCGATGCCAAGGCCAAGCCGCCTCCCAAGCTGGGCCCGGGGAGACGAGAGCTCAACGGCATTACCAAACGCATCCAGGGTGCTCGGAAATTTAACGTCTTCCTGATTCACTTCAAGAAAACAAGTAAGCCTTCGTGCTTGTTTTCTTCGTGCCTTTGTGCCTCTCTGCCCTTAGCCCAGTTCCCATTCCTACTCCTGAATTTTTGCTGCTGCTCTTCGACGCCCAAACCCCGTGCGACGTCGGCTGACCCCCTATGGTCACCTTTCTTGTTCCCAGCCGCCTCGAAACACGTCATGACCAGCGTCGCTACCTTCCTCTCTCACCCCTCTCCTCGTTTCCCCAATCCCGCCTTCCCCCCCAACGGACACTCGTCTCATGTCCCATTCCCATCTCACGTTTTCCTCCCCCCTCGTCCCTCCCCCCCTCCCCCTCCCCCCGCCCTTCCCCTCCCCCCCCCCCCCCCACCTCAGATTTGGATCCGTTCATTGCCAGATATGCGGATCGGCAGCCGCTGACCTTCCTAATGCCTCGCGACGAGGCGTTTTCCGCACTGCCAAGCACCATCCGCTCGCAACTATCGGGCAAGAAGCTAGTGCAGCTGATGCAGTACCATATGATCATGGAGAAGTGGGGGATCGACTTCCTTTCCAGCGCAAACCAGCAAAAGGTGGTGCGCGCCTTCCGTACAGTCCTTGGGATGTACATCTACTTCCTTCCGAATCCAGGGATGAAGCTGGTGAAGGTGAATAGCGTTCGGTTTGAGAACGCCAATATGGGGTTCATCATTTCGGGCGACATTGGAGGGAAGAACACTTACCCTCGGTTTATTACTCACGGGATCAACAAAGTTATCATCCCTCCTGGGGTGTTCAAGTGATGGATATGGTACATTCCCCAGTACATTGTGCAGGGTACATATGGACGGGCCAGTACCGTAGATCCGTCTGACAGTAGTTTCTGTTATTCCTTTCGTTGCTTAGTTTAGCTGTGTACCATACATACGTTTTGGTAGGGATTTCGCAGTTGCTGGCACAGCAACTAAACTACTAATACAGAACTCCAATCCTTGAGACTGCATGATTGCATGTTCCTTGATGACGTTCTTGAGACTGCTCTGCTCTGTTCTTTGTGACAGCTTTTGAGAACACTTATGTCTCGACTGATCCTGTTTGAATTCTCCAGATCTGCATGGGCCCTATACCTCTGATACCAGTACCTGCCTGTCTGTCATACAGGAAAGGGTTCCCAAAATGGTCTTACGGTACTACAAGGTCATCCACCCACACCCACACCCACACAACAATTTATTACATGCCCAAACCCTCCCCCCAATCCATTACACTTGTGTGCCTCCCACCGCTTGAGCATGTTACAGTGTGCTCTGGTATGGCAGCATCACATGGCTCACGGAATGAACATTGGCAGCGCTCCTTGCTGACAAAGAGAATGTCAGGATCGTTGTGAAAGTTGAAGAGCCCTTTGCAGCAAGCTGAACCTTCCCAGGAACGGTAGAGTTGCGCTTCTCCAGAGTAACACCAGCAAGCGTCTGGTATTCCGTACCCAAGACATCCTGGTGAAGCTTGGCAGCAGTGGCCTTAGGAGTAAGGATGTGCAGCTGCAGTGTCTTTGCCAAAAACGCGGGATCCTTCCGCAGCCTCGTCTGAGGAGACAGTTGCCTCAAAATTCGGAATATGCTGAACAAGGTGACGAACAAATGAAGCGTCGCGATTCCTAAGCAACTCACCGCATTGAAGTCGCTCAGTTGAGCGAAACCTGCATCAACTGGAGCGAGGATCGTGATTCCAGACTCGGTAGTCGAAAGCAGTTTCGACAAGGAGCTTATTCCTGCACATGACAGCAGATCTTGATAACTTGCTCGTATAAAATTAACGGAAGCAGTGCAGTCACCCGTGAGTGGAGCGGACCTGCAAGACGCAAGTAAGCCAGAAAATTCCAATGCCTGTTAGTCTTCTGAAGCTTGGTCCAGAAGTAGCTAAATTCCTGACTTCCATCCCTAAGCTTCTGATCCTGAAGAGACAACTGGAAGGCCGCGACTAGAAGTAGAAACGCCAGCAGTTTTTTTGCCATCTTTCTGGAGCTCTGGCGAAGAATCAGCGTGTTTTTCGGAATGAATCTTTGCGAATCGGAAAAATGATGGCTGTATTGGGGCTAGCAGCTTCACAAGAAAGGAATGCATCCAGAGAGGCTCTAGTGTGGACTGAACTGGAAAAGGATTCCAGTCAGAGAGCGTGACGAAGTGGAGAGCTGCCTTTTCGCTTGCGTTGTCAGGGATGGGTTCTGCGTTTTCTTCAGCACGTTACGAGGACTCTGCCCGAACACTTGTTTCGGGTCGTGTCACATTTCTTCCATGTCCGAGAGTCAACCCCAAGCGAGGATTGCCGCAAGAAAATTCAGGCTGCACCTCCTGAAGAAGTTGTAACGAGAACAGATTATTTTCACAGAGTTATCAAAGTGCCAGCAGAAACACAGCCTTGGTTTTCCCAACCAGCAACCTATTTCCCTCCCCCCATCTCCACCTCCATTCCTCTCATGGTGCTGAAGTAATCAGCTGTGTCTGTGTCTTGACAAGCCAGCCATAGAGCACGGCACGTTTCTTACCATCAAGCACCAACGGGCACAACTTCCTTGCTACGTAGGCTACTCTTCCGTTCTCTGCTTTTAGGCCGTAAATTGTGAGGGATGAGCGTGTCCGTGTCAACTTGACCCCGTTCTTGTTCACTTTGCCGATGACGTCAACCCTGCGATATTTCCGGGGTCTGTCACCGTCACCGTCACCGTCACCGTCACCGTCACCGTCACCGCCAACGCCATCCCACGCTTCCATGATCCGAACAGCTCGTACGTTTGCCCGTCGCCGTATGCGTTTCGGTCACATTCATCTCTCCTGGTCCGTGTTACTCGTCGCAACCATATCCATCACCTTCTTCTCCTCCACCATCCCTTCCGCATCCGGCGTTTCCGTCTCCGCCTCCGAATCGGATTCCAGCCTCCCTCGTCTCGGCCGGAAGCCCTTGTACCAGCGCTTTCTGCATCAGCTTCCCGCCTACACACCGACAAGAGCGTGCTTACACACTGTGGAAGGTCGCACTCTTATCGCGGATGACCAGGGTTACCTGTGCGATTGGACCGACCTAAATTTCACCACGGGTTGCTGTCCGTCTGCTTGGGAGAGAATATCAGCTGCCGGAGGAAGTTCTGAAACTGGAGGCAAACTTTCCACCAATCCTGACGAGCGTGCCGAATCAGCTTCGGAAATGCAGCGGACATTGAGATTTTCCTGCCGGTCTTGTAACTTTACTGACCGCTGCTGCGAAGTGTACGAACAGTGTGTAACCTGCTGTCAAGATCCCGATCGCACTCCGCCTCGCCTGGCGACAATCATTGCGACTGCAGCTCAGCCATCAGCTGGACGATTCTCCTCCGTCTTTGACTTCTGCCGCCACCGCTGCAGGCACAACTCTAAGAGCGTGGTTCATGAAAACGCTTACATAAGCGACAGGCACCACTGCTACGGCTTGCCGGTGGAAGTGCAGGCAGCGGCTGACGCAGCAGCCTCAGCTGCTGCTGCTGCAGCTGCAGCCAAGAAATTGTCCAGAAGGGATGGAGACACTGGTAGTGCCAGTGCTGATAGTGAAATGTCTAGCGAGATAATTTCTTCTGCATCGGATGTAAGCAGTGTAGAAGGTGGTGAAGAGTCAAGGAGCAGAGGTGGCAGTGGTGGTGGTGATATTGCCGGTGCTGCTACAGCTGCTGCTACAGCAACTGGTGCTGCTGCTGTTGCGGTTGGTGTGGGGGGATTCAGTCAGGGACTGGAGGACGTGGAGCTGAAGATGGAGATTGGCAAGCCTGGCCAATCTTGTGATCACACGTGTGCACAGCAGGGCTTGAAGGTACTCGTTTTTGTCTATGCTCCTTTCTTTCCATCTGCTCTGTTGCCGCATATGTCTGCATCTGACAAAGCGATCACTACTCACGAATTTCTCCCTTCAGTAGCCCAGAGTATCCCTTCTCTCTCATGTCTCGTTCCTCCTCTCCCCCCACCCCCTTCCCCTCCCCACAACCCTTGCTCTCTCTCCCACTTTCCAAGCCCCTCTGGTCCACCTTCCCTTTTTTCTCTTCCCTGTGTATCTCTATCCCCCAACCTTATCCAAAAACCCCCACTGCCTTTCTGTGTGCATATCCCCATGCAGTGTCGGGCCGATCTTCTTCCCCGAATCAACAGCTGTCCTCTGCTCCGCCGCTTCTTCCCCTGTGCACCCGGCTGCTTCGCCTCTCTGGGGCAAGACCAGCCAGCAGAAGTGGTAGGAGCACCAGGCGCTATATCTGACGACATGCCACAGCACACACAACATATACGCTCTGGGCAACAAGGTCAAGATTCACATCTGCTGAGGCAGATGCTGCAAGACCTAAGAGGTCATTCAAAGGTAGGTGGTCACATGCGTCAGCATGGACAACACCAACCGCAGCAGCAGCCGCAGCAGAGGTCTCAGGCCCAGTACATGCCTCTCACATGCCTTGTGAGCCTGGATCCGAGCCTGCCCTCCTGTGAAGGGAGGCACCCAGAGAGGCGTAGGTTATGTCCCTGTAGCGTGGTGCATTCTTGATATTGTGTATTCGGAAGTGTTTGCCTTGAGGTGCTTTGTAATGCGAGCAGAAGTTGTATAGATATATTGTTCTGGTGACTGCATGATTGACGTGCAAATTTGACCTGTATCTCATGAATAAATGATCACATAAGACTATCCCCTACTACAGACAGCCATCTGACTATCCCTGCGGCTACAAAGTGAGGCAGTCTTCCCGTAGCCCTTGTGGTGATTGGTTACTACCTACCTCTGTTCTCTTGAGGGCCGTTGGCTTCAGTAAGTGTCAGTAAGGGCTTCAGACACCTTGCTGCCACGACTGGGAGTCCCACACGGTATAGTGTGGAGTACAGCGACTGCAAGCAGCATTTGCTGGTCTTCAGCTTGAACGCCTCTTGACTCTGGTTCTGCCTTGGGTAGAAAGACGGATGCAGCAGGATTGCGATCTTCCTGGGTGCCTTGCTTCCTGGAACGGGTTGTGAAGAAGCAGCCATGTGTTGAAACGAAGCGAGATCCTCTTGACTGTGGTTCTGCCTGGAGATAGAAGGGTAGGACGACGGGTGCAGCAGGATTGCAATTCTCCTGGGTGCCTTGCTTCCAGGAACAGATTTTGAAGAAGACATTCGTCCAAACGAAGCAAGCTGCTTGCGACGACTGATTGGCTGCTTGCTGCTGCTTGCTTTCGTGGCACTAAGGCTCACGAAATCTTGGCTCCACAGAGGCTAGCCCTGAAACCAGCACATTAGCTCGCGATACAGTACTCTGGAGGAACAAATTACTGTCAGGTGTTAGTCACGGTGCTTCATGTGATGCAAATTCAACCAGGCTCCATGCGGAAAGGAACCGTCCCAACTATTGATACCTCCCAGGAATTAGATCGCGCTATCCTTTCTCGTCCAATCTCTTCTTCCGATCCCGCGATTCGCTCCAATCGTTTCTGGTGCTACGGGACTGAACGTGACACACGACGTGAAGCGCTGACGAGTCGAGCTAACCTTCCTCATCCATTCCATCCTTCCATTCCCGAGAGTCATCCCCGCTCTTTTCTGGCGCTACGAGACTGAACGTGACACGTGACGACGAGTCGACATCGCGATTCGCCAGCAGGCAGATTATCCTGGGTCGTTCACAGCTTGAAGCTGACGGGATGGGATAGGACCCATGCAGCTTCTGAAGGCAGACAGGAGGACACGCGCGTGACTTCTAAGTCGACTCGAAAGTCGGTCGCAAGCTCAGCTTCCGTCAGAATCCAGAATCCGTTTTTCTCAGCTTGTGAAAAGCAGACACGAGGACATGAGCGTCACTGCGTTTCCTGCGACATCGTAGACGGGACCATAGGGAATAGGGAATGACCTAGGTGACAGGGATGACCTCCGCGAGTGGCGGTGATGTCCCTCTACTGTCACGGTATACAGGACTCATTCGGAATTTTCCAGGTTTCCGTGCTTTTGAGTGCTCTGGTTCATGTCACAGCAAGAGACTCGTTACAGACTACTATGGTTCTTTAGATGATGTTTCAGCTTGAGATGTATATCAATCACATAACAGGCAAACAATTAGAAGTGCAGACATATTCATGACGTTTTGTGCAAGCTTGTTCCTTGTCTATGTACATGTTTCTTGTCTCATGATTCACCGGCCTCCTTGATAACTTGCTTTGCAATCGACCTCCACTGCTCAGCGAGAGATTCGTTCAACCCCATTCCCATGGCAAGGCCTCTTAGCAGCTGCATGGTGCGCACCACAAAGAACAGATCCTCGGGGAATTTCTGCATGAGATGAAAGAGGAGAGTTACACAATCAAGGCATGCACCGACGAAGATGTATCAAGTAGAAGAGGCTGTAATGGGGATAAGGAAAGAACGAGAAAAGGGTAAGTTGTAGGTGGGGAGCAAGGGATGCATGAGGGACAATCTTGGAGGATTACACCTAACATACCTCAACTCCGTTTCTCTTCAGCGTCGATTCACTTGAAAACGGGTTTGATGTTGTAACACCCTCCGACGCAGCAGTATCAAACATAAGCGACGACATGCGATGAAAACTCTTAGGATCCTCAAAAGCTGTCAGGGTTGTCCGAATGCCCACAGCTTTGAAGAGCGTACCCACTCGCTGCATGTCTTTATCTGCCACTGCGAGTATCAGGCGCGCTAGATTAAGCCGCAATGTGTGTGGGAGACGCTTGGTTTGGCCGTAGTCCAAAAGAGCCACCTGCAGTAAAAAGACGGCATGCGAGCGACGAGAAAGAATGAGTGTTGTTTGCTGTACATGCAAGGTCACAAATGCAAAGTACACGGGTGAAAGATGAAATCACTAAAGCTGGTAGAGCAGGTGACCTTTTTATCCGGGCAGATGAGGATATTCCCTGGGTGGGGATCAGCTTGAAAATGCCCATCTCGCAGAATCATGAGCCCATAAGCTGCCCCAAGTGACCGGAAAATCGACCTGTTAACAAGAAGAGAAGCGAGGGAAAACAACAAAGCACCAGTGAAGGAGTAAAAGATGGGGAAGGCTCAAAATGTTTCCCTATTGTGAGCTCGCTGTGTCACAGATCATTCTCCATTTCGTACTATATAAATTGCATTTGCATCTCATATCTCACTGCTTGGTTCTCATTGTCATAAAGCCATTAGGATCAACCCCTCTCGTGTTCATTCATATCCTTCTGCATTTGCATAAGTGGTGCGCCCTTTATCAGGTCCATCACTAGCATCCCTAGCACACATCGCACTCACCACTTGGCCCGCATCGCGAAGAATCCCTTGGGATCAACTCCTGTCTTGTTCATCTCCACCATCTGCATTATTGGAATGCACTAAGCACTCACCTCTTGGCCCTCATCGCAAAGAACCCCTTGGTATCAACCCCTCTCTTGTGCATCTCCTCCTCCATCTGCATAATCGGAACACCCTTTATCAGGTCCATCACTAGAAGCCGCTTCGTCACCAGCCCAGGTACAGACCGGGGCACAACCACGGGAGAAGGGGAAGCAGCTGCAGGAGCAGGCCTTGCGAGGAGATTCCAGCGCTTCTTGGTTCGTTGCCTCTGGCTCGCTGCTTCCGTGCCTGAGGCTGCCGAACCTGCCAGCGAGACTTGGATGGTGTCCATGGCTGCTGCCTCCCTGCGGAAGTCAAACTCGTACCGGATCTACAGGTACGGACAGGAGGGGGAAATGGAGAGGTATAGAAAGCGAGCGGAATGGGGAGGGAGAGGATTGGCAGGGGAAAATGCAGACTTTTGGGGGGATAAATTGCAGGTACCAATGAGCGGGAGTATGGTATGTGGTGTGTGGCATGTGGTATGTGGTATGTGGTGTATGGTGTGTGGTGTGTGGTTTGTGGTATGTGGTATGTGGTATGTGGTGTGTGGTGTGTGGTGTGTGGTGTATGATATGTGGTATGTGTTATGTGGTATGTGGTGTGTGGTGTGTGGTGTGTGATATTTGGTATGTGTTATGTGGTATGTGGTGTGTGGTGTGTGGTGTGTGATATGTGGTATGTGTTATGTGGTATGTGGTGTGTGGTGTGTGATATGTGGTATGTGTTATGTGGTATGTGGTGTGTGGTGTGTGATATGTGGTATGTGTTATGTGGTATGTGGGGTGTGGTGTGTGATATGTGGTATGTGCTATGTGGTACGTGGTGAGTGGGTGCTGCCAGCTCACCTGCTTCTCTAGCTCGGTCAGAGCACCCATGACGTCCATGTTCAGCTCGGTGCGCTGCAGGAAGGCAGCAAACGCCTTGAGATTCGCCAGGTCCATCAGCATGAGAGGCTTGCTGCCGGCGTGCTGCACCTGGTGTGTTGTATTAAGAGGGGCGTTAGGGGGAGTGGGAGGAGGGATGAGGGTGCGTACAATTTAGGATGAGCTCCGTGCAAAGCACCCTGTATGAAAGCAGCAAACGCCTTGAGGTTCGCCAGGTCCATCAGCATGAGGGGATCGGCACCGGTGTGCTGCACCTGGTGTGTCGTTGTAACAGAGGGGGTTGGGGGGTGTGGGGGAGGGGGGGAGTGCGATGAAGTGCATGGCATGGTGTGCATGGCAGGGTGTGCATGGCATGGTGTGCATGGCAGGGTGTGCATGGCATGGTGTGCATGGCATGGTGTGCATGGCATGGTGCGCATGGCATGGTGTGCGTGGCATGGTGTGCATGGCATGGTGTGGCCTGGCATTGTATAACAGTGAGCAGCGTACAACATGCAGCTTTTCAGTCAGCATGTCGCATCGTAATCAGGTTTTTATTCTTCTCCTTTTGGTTCTTTAGGGTTTTTAGGGTTTCCGTGTTTTTCCTCTTGATTCACTCCCATGTGCGCATCTCACCTTGACAGCAACTTCCATCCCTCCTTCCATTCCCCATCGGTGCACTTGAGCAATGGACGCCGACCCCAAAGGCTGTTCCTCCACCCATTCCCACACGCCCCTCCATGCCACCCCCCCCAGCCCCGCCTCTATAGTTAAGAAGTCGAACGACAGCTTAACACTCACCTCGGTAGCTCTGCACATACCTTAATAGCAACCTCCTTGCCCCCTCTGAGCCTCCCTCGGTGCACTTGAGCGATCGAGGCAGACCCCAAAGGCTGCTCCTCCACCCATTCCCACACGTCCCTCCATGCCGCCCCTCCCAACTCCGCCTCTATTGTCCGCAGCACCAGGGGGAAGGGATCGGCTGGGGCAGAGTCATGGAGAGAAGATAGCTTGGCCACCCATGGCAGTGGGGAGAGGTCTGGCTTGGCCAAGAATTGACCGGCCTGTAGCTTGCGGGGTCAGAGAGGGGAGAGGAAGGAGAAAGGGTCACCACGAGCAGCGTCGTGGAGGGAAGAGAGGCGGGCCACCCATGGCAGTGGGGAGAGATCTGGCTTGGTGAGAAACTGACCAGCCTGCGATTGGTTAGTGGGAAGACGGAAGACAGGGAAACACAGAGGGTATCTGATCTGAACGGTCTCCCCTCCACGCCACCCCCCCTCCCAAGCTCTGCCTCTATTGTCCGCAGCACCAGGGGGAAAGGATCGGCCGGAGCAGAGTCGTGCAGAGAGGAGAGGCGAGCCACCCATGGCAGTGGGGAGAGGTCTGGCTTGGCTAGGAACTGACCGACCTGTGATTGTGGGATGCGGGCGGAAGGGAAGGAAAAGGAGCACCAGGGGGAAGGGATCGGCCAGAGCAGAGTCGTGCAGAGAGGAGAGGCGAGCCACCCATGCAGGCGGGGAGAGGCCTGGCTTGGCTAGGAACTGACCGACTTGCGATTGAAGTGAAGGGGAAAGTGGTTTAAGGGGAAGTGAGAGAGGGGAGGTCTAGTTTTGAGGCGCCTCAAAACTAGTAAGGGGAAGTGAGAGAGGGAAGGTCTAGTTTTGAGGCGCCTCAAAACTAGTAAGGGGAAGTGAGAGAGGGAAGGTCTAGTTTTGAGGCGCCTCAAAACTAGTAAGGGGAAGTGAGAGAGGGAAGGTCTAGTTTTGAGGCGCCTCAAAACTAGCAAGGGGAAGTGAGAGGGAAGGAACTGGGGTAAGGTAAGGGGGAAAGGGATACAGAGGAAGGGTCCAAAGGGGCTGAATTGTGGAGCAAGGAGGGGTCTTGGCCACACATGCGGGTGGGGAGGGGCCTGGCTTGGTTAGGAACTAACCGGACTATGCTCGGGTTAGGGGCAGAGGCAAGGAAGAGGAAAACGATAAGGGGACTTTTAGTTGCTCCTAGCTGTGCTTCCCCCTCCAGCTATGTCTGGCTCCACCAAGTGGGTGATATGTGGGAGAGAATTCATAAAACACAACAACTTTAAAGCAACAACATCTGCTCTCATTGAGAGTTGAACTCAAGACCTCCCGCTTACTAAACGGGTGCTCTAACCAACTGAGCTATGAGAGCTGTCCCTCAGAAGTTGATAATTTTATAAGAATTAATGTTTACAAACCTGAATGTAGATGTAACGCATACTCTAGTCATCCCTCCTGCAGGGACATCTGCGTGTAGTCATCTTCACCAATCACGATTATCACACCTTCATCATTCCTGCGAGATATCAGTTAGAAAAAGTCACCTTCATAATACTCACAGGTGCATGCACTCACTGAGATCGAATTCGTTATGGGCACAACTTGAGGAAACACCCGATCATATCCATGCACCGAGCATTGAGAATTTCTGCGCCCCTCACAGTACATTCCAGCCTTTTTTGTTGCACACTCGCTATAGTCACACCACGAGGAAGAAACCTTTCATGTTGGTGAAGAGAGCATGCCGGATCGCTCCCATCTTACTACACTCCAACCTTAGTTATTACTCGTTACTGTAGTCACACCTCGAGGAAGAACCCTTTCATGTCGGTGCAGAGGGCATAGAAAATTGCTCCCCTCTCAGCACACTCCAATGTTGTTAATGACTCATTTATTAGTCACACCTTCACTGTAGTCACACCTTGAGGAAGAACCCTTTCATGTCGGTGCAGAGCGCATAGAGGATATCTGCTCCCTTCTCATGCTGCCTCTGCCACGTGGCAGCTTTCTCCTCCTCTGATTGGCCACTCACTGCCACCTGGAGCTGACACAGCTGTGGAGCCATAGGAGGATAAGGGGAGGAAGGAAGGGGGGGGAGGGGAGGGGAGGGACATGTGGAATGATTGGAGGAATAGAGACATGTGGTGAAAGGGACATGTGGTAACTACTGGTTGAACAAGTGTAACCACAGGTGCCGCAACAGCTGACAGAGCTGTGCCGCACAAGAGGAGGGAGAGTGAGTTAGGGGGGGGGGGACGGGAGTGAGGAGGGTGAAGGGAAGCCGCGCGCAGCTGGTAGAGCTGCGGAGAAATAGGAGGACAGGGGGATGAGGTTGGAGGCGGAATGGAGAACAGGGTGGCATCACCGGGAGGGGGAGTGAGTAAGGGGGAGGGGGCCGGGAGTGAACAGGGTGAAGGGATGACGTGTGCAGCTGGTAGAGCTGCGGAGAAGAAAAAAGAAAAAGAGCATCCAGTTCCAGATAGATGAAACCCGTCCCGGTGGAAAGATGAAACGCACCTTGTAACTGCCGTACAGGTGCACAGCTCGCCGCCAGAACTCCGCCCCTCGTCGAAACGCCAGCACGTTCGCTTGCACATCCCGTTGTAATGACAGCACCCCTCGCTTCAGTGCCTCGCTTTGCGCCTCCACATCCTCCTCTAGTAACGAAGCCATCCCTCGTTTTACCGCCTCGCTCCGTCCCTGCACATCCCGCTGTAACGACACCGCCCCTCGTCTCACTCCCTCAACTCGCTCCTCCATGTCTCGCTGTGCTAGTAACGAAACCACCCCTCGTTTTAGCGCCTTGCCCTGCGCTTCTACATCCCGCTGCAACGACAGCGCCCCTCGTTTCAATGCCTCGCTTCGCCCCTCCACAGCCAATCTCGCCCGCTCCGCTTCCGTTCGCATCCTCGTTTGTAGCTGCTTCTCTTTATCCAAACGCGCAGCCGCAGCAGCAATCGTTTTCCGGCTATCATCTACCACTTTTTCTCCCGCCATCTCGCTTCCCACATGTTCCTCTTTCCAGCTGGCAACAATCGGATCAGCCCACGTCTCCAGCCATGTCTCTGGCGCTTCCAAGAACCATCGACTCTCCAAGTTGGCTCTTAATCCCGCACTTACTAACCTGCGGCCCAGGTCCGTTTCATCCCTGCCCGTTTCATCCCTGCCCGTCTTCGGTACGCCTGCCTCCTCCCCTTCCGAACGCGGCGGCTTTGACTCATCCGTTTGTTGCGAGCCTTCTCGTAGCCGAGGGGTCCTTGGCGAAGGCTGCGAGGATGCTGGCGACGCTGGCGAAGCCGGTGGTAACAGCGGCAGTTGCGCAGGGGGCAGGAGGAACGGCGACATGGGAGTGGGAGAGGAGGGCGCGTGCAGCAAAGACGCAGAGGCCAAGATCACTTGACGCGACAATAGCGACAGCGGATTCAGCTTAAAACGAGGATGTTCGTTTCCAGTCTCGCCGGACGTTTCTGCGCCCGAAGGAGAGGAGGGCGCGTGGAGCAACGACGCAGAGGCCATCATCACGCGGCGTGACAATAGCGACAGCGGATTCGGCTTGTAGCGAGGCCGCCGCCGCTCGTCGCCACTAGTATCAGTCCCGCCAGACGATTCCATAATGGATTCTCGCGTGAATGATGCCCCAAAGCTTCACTGAATCTGCGCGACACTGTATATCGAACAGAGTACCCCAGACGATTTTTAAGGCGCCTAAAAAAAGACGTTCAGTGAATACGACCGAACTACTGGCGCGCGGACCGGCAACCGCTTCCGCTACAGTCTGAATCGCAGTGGAGCATATATTTGAGGCGCCTTAAAAACTGCTTCCGCTTCAGTCTGATTCGCAGTAGAGCTCGAGGTGTGATGCTACGCAAGAATTTGGAGTCAGACCCGACTAGAATGAGTCTCTCTCACGCGGTTATGTCTCGCCTCAAGCACGCTATAAAACGCCGACGCGAAAACCATTGCCATTTATTAGCTCTAATGTCGACTCCTCGTGCTACTAGTGCCGTCGTGAAAAGGTCCGTACTCCTCCGGTTCTTCTCCCATTGCCCTGCTTTCTAGACCACAAGCATCTCGACCATACTATGGCCCCTTGGTATGAGGGGTCCCAAGTAACTGGGGCCCCTTTCCGGGGTTGCTATCACACGGTCTCTGCGACTTCTACCCGAGCGGGCGTCGCACCTCGAACGCGCACACCAGAGGACCCTGTCGCACACGCGACGTGGACGACCCGGTCTGCGATAGAGACGGTGAGAAGAGATGCCGCATCCGATGAGTCAGCACAGTTCCCGCCGAGACGTTACGAGTCATCCGACAGTACAGTAAGATGAAAAGAGATGCAGCAGAAACAGGCTGTTTCTCCCCGGCGAAAGTGACGTAAGTTGGTGCTTGTGCCAATCAACGCGGCGCCGAGATTCCAATCCGTCCGAGCACCGCCGAGGGGCCCATCGCACGAGCGAGTTGCGCACAGGAGTGATAGCGGTCGCGGTCGCCGCGGTCGCTCCCGGGAGACGACATAGGGGCGTGATGCTGAGTCAACTAGACTGCACGATCTGAAAGCGTTGCATTGCGAGGCGAAAGGCCAGCGCAGTACAGTACAGCACTCTCTTCCTAGTTGCACACGAATACGAATAGCGTCGCCATACATTTCCAGTAGCAATGTACCATCTCTGACCCATCTGGTGGTCGGTAAGTGTCTTCTCTTCTCTTCTCGACTCGACTCAACTCGATTGTAACGAACACGCCGGTCAGTGTCGAGCGCAGCACGGGTGCTGACTCAGCTCGGAAAGGGCCATTCTCGGATACTGTACGTAGATGGCGACATTCTCGAGGTGCATGGCTGGGTGCTAACCGACGGACTTGTCGAGGCTGCGTACGGCTGCCTCGCTGAACTGTCACATCCTAGTGGCTCCTGTAGTCAGGAACCTAAGAAGAGCTACTACTGTGGAATGGACAGCGTTCTGGAATGGAACTCTGGCCCCTCGGGATTGACGAGGTTGCGTACGGCTGCATCTCTGGCCTGTCACATCCCGTCGAAGGGGTAACCGTCTTGAGCCAGACTACAGCACCGCTGGTGGTGGTGGTGGTGAAAATGCAGCCACGCAGGGACCGGAGTTTCCAATGGCAATTTGTCCCCGCCAACATGAGCTGTTTTTACAGCGATTTGCGGTTGGGGGAGTGAAAGGGGGTTTGGTTGGACAGGGACCGACAACAAGGATGGGTGCGTGCAAGTGAGACAGGAAGTGGGGAGGGGGCAAATTGCTGGCAAATGTTGGAATTCTAGCAAATTGGAAACATTATTGCAAAATGCGAGATTCGATGAATTCGGGTTTCAAATTTCCCTCCAGACGTGGGAACCGCTTTCATGATGGCGACACGGGTAATGCAGCGGGGTGAGGGGGGGGAACTGGGATTGGCGACGCGGTCAACGACATTGATTCGGCTGGTCACGAGCGAACTCAAAAGCGAGAACAAGTAATGTAACTGATTTGCCTGAATGGATGCATCATATTTCTTATGTCTCATGCATATTACTACGTATTGTTGTGCTTTGTTGTGAATAGACTTCGGCAGTGTTCTACAAGCATGAAAGTTTCCTCATAAATAATGAAAAAAAATCACGCAAAAAACTTTGAAACAATCAAGGTGGAGCTCCGAGCATTGCCCAACACTTGTACCCTGCCTGGTTATGTTGAAGCATGCTTGGCGCTCAAAGAGCCTCTCTCATGTCCCTCTAAACCCACCAACCCGCACACCTAGAGCAACAAGCACACAAGTATACGTCCATCTGCGCTGCCTCTGCGCATCGTGGATTGCTTTCCTTGCAATCGCCCACCGTTGCTCTGCAAGAGACTCATTCAACCCCATGCCCATGCAAATCCCCCTCAGCAGCTGCATCGCCCCTCATGCTGTCATATGCCTCTGCCTCTGTGCCTGACTCATCACGTGCTGTGCAAATACCCACTCAGCAACTGCACCGTCAATCACACCGCCACGTACCACATCCTCTGTGACTGCCTCATCACTTGCCTGCAAATCCCCCTCACCAGCTGCGTCGTCCCTTGCACCACAAAGAAGCCTCCTGCTGCCAGCAAACACCCTCGCTGCAGCGGCCTCCACTGCTCTGCAAGTGACTCAATCAGCCCCGTGCCCCCTACAAATCACCCGCAGCAGCGGCATACTGCACATCAGAAAGAACAAATCCTCTGAAAACTCCCTCACTGCTGCTGCCACTGTGCTTCCTTGATTAGTTGCCGAGCATTTCGCCTCCACTGCTCTGCAAGGGACTCATTTAACCCCTTTCCCATGCAGATCCTTCGCAGCCCCAGCCCCATCCCCTCCACTGCCACATGCTGCTGCCGCTGTGCCTCTTTGATAACTTGGTGTGCAACTGGCCTCCATTGCTCCACAGGGACTCATTCAGCCCCGGACACACCCAGAACCACCTCAGCAGCTGCAGCGTCCTTCGCACCACAAAGAAGCCTGTCGTTGCCTGCAAACACCCTCACCGTTGCGTCGTGCATACACCTTCACTGTTGCTGCCTTTGAGCCTCTTTAATCGCTTGCCGTGCAATCGGCCTCCACTGCTCCGCAAGGGACTCATTCAACCCCATGCCCATGCAAATGCCCCGCAGCAGCTGCATCGTCCGCACCACAAAGAACAGATCCTCCGGAAACTTCCTCACTCCGTTGCTCTGCCCTACGTGCTCTGCCGAAAACGGGTTTGAAGTGGTGATGCCAGGTGCTGATCGCGTGTCAAACATAAGAGTAGCCATCCAGCGGAAACTGTCCGGGTTCTCCTCCGCCGTTTTGCTCAGCTCAAACCCCATCTGCTTGTACAGCCGTCCGATCTGCTTCGCATCGCCGTCACCGACGGCCAGGATCAGCTCGGCCAGCTGCAGGCGGTGCTGCTGGGAGAGTTGTTTCGTCTGCCCGTAGTCCAGAAGAGCGACCTTTTTGTCCGGGCAGATGAGAATGTTTCCGGGGTGCGGGTCGGCCTGGAAGTACCCGTCTCGAAGGAGCATGAGCCCGTAAGCCTCCCCAAGCGAACGAAAAATGGACCTGAAATTGTTTCCGTGGGGGGGTATTTGGAAATTATAAGGAGGGGAGGAGTTAGAGGGAAAGGCGCATACAGGGAAAGGCATACAACGATGCTGTTGTATGAATTTTCTTGGCACATGATTTGTGTGAGCCCACAAACGGTGAAAGTTGAATTGAATCAGAAGGCATGCACTGCATGACGATACATCCACTGCACCCAATGATGCCGCAGGGAAAGGCATACAATGATTCTGTTGTTAATGTTGTTGTTGGTTTTTTTCTTCTTCTTCTTTTAATTTATTCCGCTTTGCAGAGAGTACCCATGCGCTTCCACCCCCCGTGCGTTTGCACTAATTTCTTCAGCAGCCTTTGGTAAGGGCGAGCCCACTCACTCCAATTATACCACTCATTCCAGTCATACCACTCACACCACTCACACTCACCTCTTGATCCTCTTTGCGAAGAAAAATCAGCTTTAGCTCCCATCTCCTCAGCGGCCTTGAGCAGCGGCGAGCCCTCTTTCAGGCACCATCACCAGCACCCGGCTGGTCGCCAGGCCGGGGAGGGGGACGGGGCAAGAGGGAACGAGGAGACCCACCTCTTTTCACTCACACCCACTCTTTCTCACCTCTTGATTCTCCTGGCGAAGAACCCCTCGGCCTTGGCTCCCATCTCCTCTGCGGCCTTGAGCAGCGGCGAGCCCTCTATCAGGTGCATCACCAGCACCCGTCTGGTCGCCAGGCCGGGGATGGGGCGAGGCACCACCACTGGGGAGGAGGTGGAGGAGGAGGAGGAGGTGGCAGATGGCAAGTGAAAAGAATCCATGTGACTTCTGCGCTCTGCTCCCCTGCCCCTGCCTGTTCTGCCTCTAACTGCTGCTGCTGCCCCTTTCCTTCGCACCATCGCTCCGCCCGTTCCTCCTTCCCCGCCCTTTCTCCTCCCCCCCCTTTCCCCTTCCCCTTTCAGCGCCAGGTGGATCCGCTCCATGGCGTTTGCTTCGATGCGGAAGTCAAACTCCAGCCGCACTTGCTTCTCCAGCTCTACAAGTGCCGACACTATGTCCATATGCTTCAGCTCCGTCTTCTGCAGGAAAGCTCCAAAGGCCTTGAGGTTCGCCAGGTCCATCAGCATGAGGGGCTCCGACCCCTTGTGCTGCACCTTCAGGGCGACTTGCCTGCCGTCCTTGAGCCACGCCCTGTGCACCTGTGAGAGGCCAGGGGAGAGAGGGGAGGAGGGGTGTGGGGACGGGAGGGAGGGAGAGGGCAAATAGAACGCCTTGAGGTTGGCCAGGTCCACGAGCATGAGTGGATCCGAGCCTCTGAGCTGCACCTTGAGGGCGACTGGTCTGCCCTCATTGAGCCACGCCCTTAGCACCTGTTAGCACATCGCTCCACCGCAGCCCCTTCCTCCCCGTTAACGCCTCCATCTCGCCCATCCCCTCAGTGGTATCGCGCGCCACTGGTAACGGGTACTGTGTAACATTGTAACATTGTAAACAATTTCACACACCTGAGCAATGGAAGCCGAACCCAGTGGTTCTTCCTCGATCCTCGCAAACACGTCGCTCCACCGCAGCCCCTTCCTGCCCATCAGGGCCTCCAGCTCCCCTTCTATCATCTCACACACCACCGGGAACGGGTCAGCCGGCGCGGCGTCATGCAGAGAGGACAGCCGCGCCACCCACGCAGGGGGGGACATGTCCGGCTTTGCTAAGAACTGCCCCGCTTTAAGGAAGAATCCGCGCATCTCGGTGCACAGGGAGTGTAGCATGTTGGCCGCCCTCTCGTGCTGCCGCTCCCATATCGCCTCCCTCTCCGTCTCTTTCACTAAGGCCAGTCGCCGGTTGCCCGGGAGGGGGAGATTGAAGGATGTGTGAAGTTGGCAGACCTGTGGAAGGAAGAAGACAATGGGACGAGGGGGGAGGAAAAGGAGGGGGGAGGAAAAGGAGGGGGGAGGAAAAGGAGGGGGGAGGAAAAGGAGGGGGGAGGAAAAGGAGGGGGGAGGAAAAGGAGGGGGGAGGAAAAGGAGGGGGGAGGAAAAGGAGGGGGGAGGAAAAGGAGGGGGGAGGAAAAGGAGGGGGGAGGAAAAGGAGGGGGGAGGAAAAGGAGGGGGGAGGAAAAGGAGGGGGGAGGAAAAGGAGGGGGGAGGAAAAGGAGGGGGAGGAAAAGGAGGGGGGAGGAAAAGGAGGAGGGAGGAAAAGGAGGAGGGAGGAAAAGGAGGGAAGAGGAAGGGGAAAGGAGGGGGAAGGAGGGGGAGAGGAGGGGGAGAGGGATGAGGGTGAAAACAGCAAGGTTCTTTCCACTAATACTCTCAACAAATAAGGTTTCTTCCAATAATACTCAAAACCTCCGTATCAGGATTGGAAGGTGGACAATCTGCGCGATACACTTATTATCAGATTATTGCTCCTGCCTACGTGCACCCATGTGTAGCGAACTTTTTAAAACACTTTGTACACCTGATATATATACTTCATACCTACACTACATAACGAATTAACCTTGCAGCTGCCAGACAACCGCATAGAAATTAATGTACTTACCTTATAGCTTCGGTATAGGTGCTTAATTTATTGTTGTCCATACCTTATAGCTGCCGTATATATGTACGATGCGGCACCAAAACTCCCCGAATCGCCGTAGCGCAAGCATCCGCGCTTCCGCTTCCGCCTTCGCGTGCGCCACGCGTTCCCCCACGACCGCCATCCGCCCGCCCACCCCGGCCACTGACACAAGCAACGGCGCGCCAATCCGCGCGGATTGCGCCAATTGCCCGCGCGCCGTGGTCACTGCGCCGTCGACTGCGCGCGCTAGTGCTACCCGCGCACGGCCGATACGCGCATGGGCGGAAGTTACAGCGTGGTTCACATGCGCCTCAAGCGCAAGAGCGCTCGCGCGCGGGGGGGTGACCTGCGCCTGTCCGCCGGCTTCCGCGGTCGTCGTCCGCGCGTTCCCCACGTTGCGCAAGTTGCGCAGGTTGCGCGCGCGCATCGCCTGCTCTTCCAGCCAGCCAATCACAGCGCGCTGAAGCTCCTCCGCGCTGGCCGGCGACAACGGAAACACATCGTCCGAGTCTGGCTGGCTCGGCAGCAGGTTCGGGCCGAACCTCGGCGCGAGGCTCGGGTGCGTTGCGTGGGAGGCGGAAACGGACGCGAGAATTGTGGGGAGCTTGAAGTTCGGAAGCTGTCGGCGCAACTGCAGCGGCGGCGCCCCTACATCTGAAATTCCGTATCCTCTAGTACTAGCAGCAGACCCGCCGTGAGATGCGGCGAGCCCGACACGTGGCACGTCAAGATCCCGCGTCTTCAGATCGGTTTCGCCGCTGCCGGAACCGAAGCTTTCGCTCCGAATCGCAGCGGCGGGAGCATTGGCGGGAGGGGGGAGGGAATCGTTGCGTTGGAGCTGAGAGCGCGCCGAGCCCCGTCCCAACCGTGTCGGCCGGAACGTGCGGCGCGAAATGCGGGCGGACGGCGAACGGTTCTCAGGAGCCATGATTGAAGAAACGCTACTCGGTAGAGGCTTTACAGTGGCGCTGTGCTACTTTACAGGAAATGCGACGCGCCGCGTTGCGCCCTTCCTACGACTCAAAAGTTACTACGCCCCTAGAATTCTCAAAGGTCACCGCAAGATGAATATTATGAGTCGACTCAAAAGTTACTACGGCAGTCGCCAAGGAAACTCCTCTGCCTCTGACGGTCAAAAGGCTGTGAGTCCGAGAAGCACGTCGGCGCGCCGTGCCTAGTAGGGTGACGCGCTTAGCACAACGAGCGGGAAGTATCGAAAGAATTAACTGCGACTCGCGGAGTCTATTTTTGAGGCGCCTCAGAAATAGCGGAAGAATAGACTGCGGGAAGAAGTGCGGCCAAGAACCGTCACTACTCAGGCTTTCACCAGGGAATGGGAGACGCTGAGCGGGCCCAAGAATGAGAGAATCACGTGAGGGACGAAATTGCCTGACGGTGAGCTGTAGGGGAAATGTCGCTGCTGCTTGATTTGACAGCTACCTATTGTGGCTGGCAACGTCGAGTGTCAGCCAGGTTTTGGACAGCACCGCGTTCGTCCTGGGACAACACAGCACCGACGTGAATTGAAGCGGAGCGGAGCGGGAGGGAGGGACTCTCCTCGAGGTCCGCGTGCGATTGTGCTCGAGGGCAACGCAAGCCTTGAGAGAGAGTGTTTTGGCAAAACGCCTCGAGTGGGTGGCTGGTGAAACTTCAGAGAGACTGTGTATGCGCGTGCTGTGTGTGCGTGTGCGTGTTGTGCGAGTGCCTTGTTTCTCCCCTCAACCCCCCACTTGAGTCCAGCCGAGCACATCCTCTCTTCTCTTCTCTGCCCTTATCTGCTCTCCCATTCGTCGATGCCGTTTCTTGGAATCTCGAGGTTCTGGGAGTGGTGGGAAAAGAGAAGGGGTGAGCCACGTGGCAGTGCCGGGCGAAATCCGCACAACTGGTTGAAAGTGGAAGGCCGGGAGGAGCTGATCGGTGGTACGGTACTGTACTGTACTTAGCAAAGACCCAGTGTGGGCTGCAAGTCGGTGGTTGCCCAGGTGCGACGATTGGTGGTGTCGCAGCAGGTGGGGCTGCGTTGACGGCCGCCTAGGCAAATCCACGAATCGAGACGAATCGGCGAATCCGGTCAGAGGACTCAGGACGAAGCGAAGCGGAAGCTGGAGTCGCCGGCCGCCTGGAATGCAGTGCAGAACACTCTAGGCTGCCGCTGTAACCACCGAACCAAAAAAATGTCGGCTAGCCGACTTCCTCTATTAATTTTACATGTTTCAAGAAGCAACTAACCAAACCCAAAGGTTTTGGTTTCCAGAGGTCGCGAAAATTGCGAGGTGTGGTGAGGGGTGTTGGGGGGTTCGCTGTCACTGTTTCGATCATCTCGCCAACCCGAAACCAAAGCATTTGGATTTGGTTTCGCGCTTTTGTAGGTCGTATGTTTGAAAGCCATTTCCGTGGCATGCCTCGATGGCGCAGTCGGTAGCGCGTAGGTCTCATAGCAATCCGACTCCCACTCTGGTGGGCGGAGCCATCCTAAGGTCGTGAGTTCGATCCTCACTCGGGGCATGCGATTTCTTTCGCAACTTGCCCAAATGCTTTTGGAGGTCAGTGCTGGTCCACGGGCAGTGTTTTCCCCTCCTACAGGTGTTCCTTGTTGCAACCTCCGTTTTGCTTAAAGCGAGAGACTATAATAGTGACCCCCCTTTATAGTTGGGCCCAACTAGAAACGACCCAACAGTGAATATGTTTTTGGAGGGGCAGGCATCAGCCCCCGATTTTTACCAAGCCGTAGGCCACGAAATCGAATTGCGCTTGCGACATTTCGCACTGGCGACAAATTTTACGACAATAGATTTGCGTGGTTAGCATTTCGACCAATCGGGGCCCAGCCTCGGTTTTGCTGGTGTAGTGAACCCGGGTCCAACTTGAAATTCAAGTTGGGCCTATCAAAATGAGAGAAGTGAATGATGAGTAATGGGAGAGTACATATAGATATACCTAAGTATTGTACCCTCTAAGAGGTGACCCTATACACTCTATGCAAACATAACTAATACACATGTTTGACACACCCCCTAGACTGCATAGGGGAATGTCCTGAACAAGCAGCTCAGGGCGGCACTACTAGTCCAACCTCTGAAACAAGGGTCTAAAAGACCAGTCAGAAGGAGTACAAACAAGGCAAGAACAAGATCAGGGCGGCACTACTAGTCCAGCCACTGGTAGAGGACACAAGTCCAGTCTGAGTATACATATAAAAGGGCAGTACAAAGTCAAGGCCCTAGCAAGTGAGAGGCTACAGGGACTAGACCAAGCTGTACGCAGTGCCGCTGATGATCTTTAGGCGCAAGCGCCTTCGTAAAGATATCAGCTTTGGCACCTGAGGCCAAGTGTACTACGCGAGCCTGGCGTCGCTGCTGTAGCTCACGCAGGAGGAAGTATTGCAGCTGAATATGCTTCGCTCTGCCCTCAAGTCGAGGCTCCTGACACAGGAGGATCATGGCCCTGTTGTCAGCGAACAGGACTGGGGCAGAGCTAGGCCGCTCACCTAAGTCAGTGAGCAAGAAGGTCAGCAAGCGAAACTCCTGTGCCGCCATGGCACCAGCGTAGATCTCGGCCTCACAGCTGGACTGGGCAACAGACGAGGAGCGGGTAGCTCTCCACGAGACGACACCTGAGCCAAGGCTGAAGCAGTAGCCCTCGGTAGACCTGAGTGTCTCGGCGTCGTCCGCCCACGAAGCGTCGGTGTGTCCAGTAAGGACCACTGGCCTGCGTCCTCCTAGCACTAACCCCATGCCCGATGTACTAGCAAGATAATGCAAAACCCTCTTAGTGGCAGACGAGTGCTGTGGTCGGTGTCTGCCTGTGGCCACAAAGCAAGCCAGGATGCTGAGAGGGTATGCGAGATCTGGGCGAGTGCAAGTCATCAGGTACATGAGGCAACCCACCAGCTCTGCGTAGGGGCCGCTGGGCTCAACCGACTCCTCAGACACTGGAGCGGAGAGTCTGTGGTCTACAAGCAGAGGGGTGGGCTGTGCACAGGAGAACTGAAGGCTGAACCGCTGAAGGACCTGGCGCACCAAGTGTGACTGAGTTAGGGTGATGGTGCGCGCTGCTCTGTCCCCGGAGATCTGCAAGCCAAGGTAACGGCGCAGTTCTCCAAGGTCAGTGCACGTGTGTCTCTTCAGCAGCTCTGCCTTCACGGAGGCCAGTGCGTCCCTGACTGCTGTGGCGAAGACCAGATCGTCAACGTAAACAAGGATGTAGAACGGAGTCTGGCCAGCACGAACGAAGAGTGAGGGGTCTGCGGAAGACGGAAAGAACTGCAGGTCAGCAAGCGTAGCACGGAGAGTGTCGTGCCACTCACGGGAAGCCTGGCGCAGGCCGTAGATGGGGCGCCGCAGGAGCCACTGGGTCCCAGGAGGGAAGGTGCCAGCAAAGCCCTGAGGGCGACGCAAGTAGACCTGCTCGTGTAGGCTGCCTTGAAGAAAGGCAGTGGAGAAGTCGAGGGAGTGAAGCTCGTAGTCGCGCTGAGCAACTAGGTGTAGTAGAACCCGAAGAGTAGTCATCTTCGGGGTCGGAGCGAAGGTCTGGAAGAAGTCCACCCCCTCACGCTGACTGAACCCTCTAGCCACGTAGCGCGCCTTGAACACAGGCGGCTCTCCAGGAGGGCGCTTCACCTTGAAGAGCCAGCGGCCATCGACTACGTTCACCCCAGGCGAGGGAACTGCGTCGACGAAGGTGCCGGTGGATCTCCAAGATGCCATCTCCTGCTCCATGGCAGCTATCCACTGCGAGGCCCAAGGTCCCGAGGTCGCCTCAGCGTAAGTGCGAGGGGTCGGGATGTCAAAAGCGTCTGGGTCACCCTCAGGGACTAGCAGCATGGAACAGAGATGGGGAGCAGCCTCGGACAGGAAAGCAAGCTCGAACTGGCGGTCCTCAAGGACGTCACTGCCAAGGGCAGGAGCACCCCCGACACACGGAGGACAGGCAGGGTCAGAGACAAGAGCGGTGGCGTAGTCAAGGCGGCGGGTAGAGGCGAAGTCAGCGACCGCAGCTACAAGAGCGTCAAAGCACAAGACCGGAATAGACGGGTCGGTAACGAGAGAGGCAAGGACCCGAGGAACAAGAGGACGAGCGGCACGAAGGTAGTCAGACAGCGGGGGGGGGTGCAACAACAAGGGAGGACGGAGGAGGCGACGGCAGAAGGGGAGGACGAGACGCGTGGGAACGAAACAACATAGGGTGGGAGCGCAAGACATGCGAGGCACGACGAGCACGGGAGGGACGGTGAGACTAGACGTACGACGGAGGAGTCGGGTCAGGAGACAGAGGAGGGGACACAGGAGGGGAACGAGGGGGAAGACGGGCCGGGGACGAGTCCGGCGGAGGGAACACAGGGCCGTAGACGGGAAGAGGAGGAGACGGTCGGAGAGGAACAGCCGCAAGGTCAGGGGACGAAAGGCCGAGCAGGCGAAGGGCTGACACCGGCGGGGACTGCTGCTGCGGTGGCACAACGGCGACACCTGGACCGCAAGCTGCTCCTCGGCTACCACCGACACACTCCACACCAGCACCCCCAGAGGGACCCCCCCCAGGGCGACCGGGACGAGCACCCCCAGAGTCAGCGAACGGGTGCTGGGACGGCGGCGGCGGCGGCGGCAGCGAAAACGACGGCGGCAGCGAAAACGACGTCTGCAGCGGCGGCAGAGGCGGTGGAGGAGGGGACTGGGGAGGGGACGCCGGGGGAGGGGCGGCCGGCGAGGACTGCGCAGCAGGGCTACCAGAGTCAGAAGACTCCTCAACCGGGTCTACCGACGGAAGGGGGGTGACGTGGGACACACCAGAGGGGGCAGGACGGGGAGGAGGAGGAGGAGGGGCAGGGACTACCAAGGAAGGAGTGACCAGGAACAGGGGGGGGTAACCGGGGGACCACGGTGGGGGAAGCGACGGTAGTAGGAGACGGACTCGTCAAATGTGACGTCGCGAGAGTGAAAGAAGCGGTGAGACGGCGGGTGGTAAAAGTGCCAGTCGGACGCGTCAAGGGGAAAACCGAGGAAGACGCAGGGAAGGGTGCGGGCAGTGAGCTTGTCCGTGCCGGAGGCACGGACGTGAGCAAGGCAGCCCCAGACGTGGAACGCAGACGCGTCACCAGGAGACCCAGTCCAAAGACGAGTCGGCGAAACCTGCGGCTGTTGAGGGTGCAGCCACAGGTTAAGCTGGTGAGAAGCGTAGCGCACAGCGAACGGCCACAGAAAATGGGGTGCACCGGCATGGATCATGGAGATGCGAGCCACCTCCATGACCAAACCGATGCGTCGCTCAGCGACCCCATTCTGCTGTGGGGAGTCCGGTAGGGTGAACGTCTGGGTGATGCCCTCCGCACGACAAAAGCGACCAAGGACACCTGAGGCAAACTCGCCACCACGGTCGGAGTGAAGACGCAAGACAGGGAGACCGCGGTGGACACGCGCAGAGACAAGCCAGGGGATGAGAGCGC